AGAAATATATAATGGCCAAAAATAAATAGGGATACTTCTATTTGTTGCTTATTGGTTTGTTTTTGTAATAATACACTTTTTTTTTGTTCGGGATTCTCTTATCTGTTGGTAAATATAAAAATTCAACAAGTATTTTCCATTTTTAATAAAGTATTAAATAAAAGATAGTTAACATGAAGAATACTCTTTTTGTAAACCAACAGTTGTTTTCAACTTTTCTCAATTTTAATACAGCAATATTCTGTTTAATGAAGAAAATACATCATATAGAACCATAACTTTAAAATATTATCCTCAGAAGGAGCTGTCAAGGGCATCGGTGGTGAATACCCCCATTGTAGTTGCCGTCTCCCATATTGTTGTTTTCCGAGCTTTAACCAGATTCAGAAAAACCCGAAGTATTAATTGGAGACCTGTTAGTGGATGAGGATCTTAGTACATTAATCTCCAAGAGATGGCAGAAATATTGGTATTACTGCAAGAACCAAACCTTTTCACAGTCTCTAATAAAGTCTAAATGAAGTGTTGAATGTTCTGTCTAGCCCCATACCAACACATACCGTTCTCAATTTTTTGTGGAAAGTTTATCTAATATCTAATGCCCCTTTAAAATGGCAAGGAGCAACAGTAGATCGTCGACAACTCCACAGACTATGGTGCAGCATATTCCTAGATGACGATACGAATTGAAATGCTGCAATAATTGCAAACAAGTCGCGTTTCTTTATTATATTATATTATTGTATTGTGATCTTAGGTGCTTCATTTTCTACTGAGAACCGGGGATGAGTGCACTGCCACAGTTTGTGCTTTCTTAACTTTCAGCAACTGAAAGCAGTATTGCAATGTATATGGGATGAAATTCCTTGTGAAATCAGTGACAATATTATAAACAGTATGCTCAATAGGTGCAGAGAATTAATGCGTAACATAGGATATTACACCGATTATTAAATTTCCAAAATATTTACAATTTGATATCATAAAGTCAATATCACATAAACCTTTAATTTTATTATTTTTTAAAAGCAGCTTTAATAAAATTTCCGGAGGACAGATACAATCTTATTTATATTAATTTTCAATGTAATTTATTATAAAAATAAATTAAACATCCATTGGAAATAATTCACACACAGCGAACAATATACCTATTCGTTTTATCGCAGTATATATGTGTTAGATTTGTACTGCACTGATAAGAGCAGTGAAAACCTAACCTATGATTTGCACGACACCGGCAGTCGTCCAAACGTTGCCGGGTACTCAGAACACTAGCACGACTGTCGTCTTGCCGTTTATCCGGCAAATAAAGATTGTCATTTGTCATTAGGACGACATTAGCACGGCAACTAGTGTCGTTTAAACGACAACGACAATTGCCGGACTAGTGTGAAAGGTGCCTATTAGTTTCAGTCTCGATACTGGTATCCGGCATCGTTTAAACGACAGTCGGGTAAGTGTGAAACTGAATTGTCGTTTAACCGGCAACGACTATGTCGGATAAACGACAGCACGACAATTTCGTGTTGCTTAAACGACAACGACAAAAATCGGGTTAGTGTGAAAGCTCCCTATTACTCTCTCTCAAGAATGCAGTGTGCACGGCGTCGTTTACCCGGCTGCCGGGTAAGTGTGAAACAAGCCTTAATCCAAAACAACTATCGATATTATACATGTTACATTTAGATATCTTGATAAGAAAACAGATGTAAAAAAGTTAATAAAACGAATTTTGGATTTTAAAAATAATTGTTTTTGATATATTTAATTTTTATATCTCCAGATGCTAACTATATATAAAGAAAGAAATTACCGGTATGAAACTTTGATTAAGTAATTCTTGAAGTGTTATTAAAAGTGTATTTACACGAATTAATACTTTTAGAAATAATTATTTAATATTTTTTCATTAGACATGGCTATATTTAGTACGTGTATATCCATTGTTATTCACCTTATTATTTGTAAATAATTAGCTTAGATCACAGAAAGTAACAAATATAGACCAATGAAAAAAAATTTCCATTTTGGTGCTTCAGGGCTTCAGCCTGAAAGTTCCCTCCTCCCATAGAACCGTCTGTGGTTTGTAACAAATGATCTTCAAATTGTGTATTATTGGACAAAAAAAACAACAAAAAAACGCGAATTTTGAATTTGATCTATTGGTGCAACAACCTCTCCTATTTTTGGTATTCAATGTTTTTGGTTCCTAGAGAGAGAGGGCAATAGCTCAAGTGCTGAAAATAAATTATCTTCAAATAATGCATTTTATCGTTTGTTGGTACACCATTTTAAAATGCACCCGCTTTAAGATGCTACACTAGCGCAATTGATTGCTAAGGATGGAACATATGTATACGGATGTGTAACAAAATATTCTCTTCAAATAAGGCACAAAATTCCACCTCGGCCCTTGTGTCGCTATTGGACGTATTAACATAAAATATGATAGAACTGAATCGCCTTGTAATTTTTCTCGTGAAAGAACGCCTTAAACTTATTTTCATACAAAACGTGACTAATATACTGTTAGAGAATCATTTAGTCGTTGAGATTGTGATGTTTGCATAATATTAAATTATAGCTAAAAATATTCTATTTTCAACTTGAAATAGTTGTTAAAAACTGTTTAAATTGATCTCATGTTAGTAAAAATTTACCGATATTTATTTAAATGTGAATGTGAAAAAAAATCCCCAAAACAACTATTTAAAGAAAAGAGAAATATAGATAAAATCCATCCTCATTGAAGATGCATTTCCAAATGTAATACACGAAAAAATTATTATCGTGACAACCACTAGCAAATTCTGCCGGAGGCATGCCCTCCCTTAGATACTAGAAGAAAAAAAATCTGAAAAAGTGAGAACTACTATTTAAAGAAAAGAGAAATGTAGGGAAAATTCATCCCCAAACACGAATTTCGTAATGTAATATAAAAAAAAATTATTATCGTGACAAGCACTAGCGAATTCTGCCAGAGGGCGTGGCCTTCCTTGGATGGTGAAAAAAATTCCAAATAACGCCTATTTAAAGAAAAGAAAAATATCGGGAAAATTCATCCTCATTTACGAATTTCCTAATAAAAAAAAAATACTATCGTGACCAGCACTAGCGAATTCTGCCAGAGGTCGCGCCCTTCCTTATATGGTGGAAAAAAATCCAAATAACACGTATTTAAAGAAAAGAAAAATATAGGTAAAATTCATCCTCATCCACGAATTTCCTAATGAAAAAAATATATTATCGTGACCAGCACTAGCAAAATCTGCCAGGGGGCGCGTCCTCCCTTGGATGGTGAAAAAAAATCCAAATAATACCTATTTAAAGAAATGAGAAATATAGGAAAAAATCGTCTTCATAGACGATGTTTCTAATGTAATATATAAAAAAAGGTATTATCGTGATCAGAGCTAGTGATTTCTTTCAGAGGGCGCGTCTTCCTCTCGATATTAGAAAAATAATTTTGAAAAAAAGGGCCAGAAAAACATTATTTAAAGTAAAGAGTGATGTAGTTTTTGGACCGCCGTGAGATGCGAAGGCTTTTGCGCCTTACGCAGTTTGTTCCTATTGACTCCGAACTGAGTATCGCTGGTGAAATACATAATGGAAGAAAATTTATTAAAAAAAAACTTCATTTGTTCTTTCGAACCAGCTTTTATTTGAGTACAAGAAATTACGGGTTTTCTTCCGGACCCAGTTTTTACTCATTTTCAATTGATCTGAACGCATTGCAACCTTCAGAAACTATAATCTCCTTGAAGAATCCATGCGAATCATAAAATTGGTCACGATAATAATTTATATATTTCATATTAAAATTTGTTGTTCTTTTATTAAAATATCTGCTGTTGGGAACGTTTTTATGAAGGAATGTAATTATTATTTGGTCGTCGGTTTGATCGGAATTTGATTATGATCGGAATCTGAAATAATTCTGAGTTTACTTTTCTTAGAGAATTCATTTCTAAGCAGCAGAGCCATTTACAGTAATCTTTCTCAAATTTTGACAATATCGGTAAAAAATAGAGTTCATTGACAGTAACATTTGGTTATCGATCGTATCACTTAATCAAATTATTAAGTTTAGTTACTCGTTCAACACACAATTTGACGTTTTTTTATTTCTTAAAGAATGCGTTTTTCGCTTTGATGCACTGTTTAGTGGTGATACATGAAAAAAAAAAGATCAGATAAATCTAGAATTTTCGGCTCTAAAAAGTTTTCTCTTGGTGACCCGTGTTAGCAATTAGTCTTTTACATGTCTAAACCCATATACAGGGTGTCTCGTAAGTAGAGGGAAATATTTAAAGGAGTGATAGCAAAACTCAATAAATACGAAAGAGTTTATATAAACAATGTTTCGATTTATAGCAGGAAAGTAGGGAATTAAAGTTTTGTGATTCTTTATGTGTCACGTATTTTGTTGAATAGGAAATGATAAAAAAATATTTAATTTAAGTAATTAATGATAGCTTCACTGAAAACTAGTCAAAATTTACTCTAAATAAAAATAGAGTTTAATTTTGTTAAAACCATTTAAAAAGGATTTTTGAGCCGCTAAACTCAGCTAAGGAGTGGGGGAAATGGGTAGTGGTGGGGAAACGGGTAGGGGTGGGGGAAGCACGTGGTACAGAGGTGCGCGCCCCCCCCCTGAGAAAATTCCTGGATCTGCCAATGTATTCTAGATACGTAAAAATATATTATTTAATACTACTCAATATAGCCCCTACACGTGAAATTACGTTGGCGCTCTTTTAATAGTATTGAAGGAGCTTCAATAAATAAATAAAATAAAATAAAAATAAAAATTAACCAATGTGGTACCAATGTAGTCCTTACACGGTCAATACATTGACAAAATTCGATATTGAATCATTTATATTGACCGCCTAAGGAGATCCTGTTTAGCCAGTAGAGCAAAATATCGATGTTTATTGATATCGATATCGCTCAACATCTCAAGTGATCAAGACTAGTGTCAAACCAACATTCAGCTCGAACTCATTTTAAATCAAACTTGCCGCGATATGACAATGTTGGTTTATTTGATAAAATATGCTTTATTATAGATTATGAGAATATTTACAAAGCCGTACGAGGTCGGATAATTTTATTGTATAAACCTTTTAATCTTTTGAAATGTTAAAGTGAAAATAAATTGGTGAAAGTGTGTTAAAAAAAAAACTTTCACCGTACCTTTGACTTGTATGTTTTAATTTATTTATGAATGAAGAACAAAATGACAAACGTTAGCAATCTGAGTGTGGAAGACAGGGTAAATAATAGAAAAGGATCAAAAATGACCCATGTTATTTTCTGGTCATTGCTAATTGATCTTATGGCTTTCACTATGATATTACCTTTGATGCCAGCATTGATGGACCATTATCAGAAAACTGATCCCTCGGATGGTTTGTACCATTATTTTTCCAAAATTATTAATAAGTTCCAAGTGCAAGTTGGAGCTCCTGATGCTGCCAATTCAGTTTTGTTTGGAGGTACTTGCTAATAGATGAAATTATTTACAGTTATTACATAGTATGATTTTCAATTGACCTATATTTTGTATTAAGGTTTCCTTGGGTCCTTGTTTTCCTTTCTACAATATGTTGTTTCTCCATTAGCTGGTGGGTTATCTGACAGATATGGAAGAAAACCAATCCTCCTCTCATGTTTGGTATTTATAGTTGTATTTTAAGTAACTAATTTATTATGAGTAATATTTCTTCTCATTCACATCATTATCTCTAGGTAGGCATTACTGTTTCGTATGGTTTGTGGGCTGTATCATATAATTTTGCATTTTTCGTAATTGCTAGAATCATTGGCGGACTAAGCAAAGGAAATGTCAGTATTACTATGGCAATAATCACTGATGTTTCTACTGCGTCAACAAGAGCTGCTGGCATGGTAAGTAATATCACTAGATCATAATGTGTTAATCTCTTCGATAATTGGTTTACAATAATCAGTGGATTATTAAATTCCATTGATATCATGATTAATAATGTTTCTTATTTAAAATATAATTTATGTATTTGAATAATTGAAATCATATTGCTTCTTTTCTTTTGATTGTGACAAAACTTAAAAAAAAATCGCTTTATCACTGTGAAAAATGCCTAACTATTGTATATGAAATATCTTATAAGAAGATAGAAAATGAAGATGTGCCATTCTCTAAGATGAAACCTTAACTATCTTTGGAATACAGGCTAATGAACATATAAAACTTGTTTCTTTTTTTTTTTAAAGTTGGGACACTATCAAAGTAAAGCATCGATATGCATTTGCAAATGTGGATATTCAGTTCATTTCTTTTTTTTTTAGGCTTTGGTTGGTATTGCATTTTCTATGGGTTTCATCATTGGACCATTAATTGGAGCCTTTATTGCTAAATGGGCCCTATATAGCGGTAATATGTATTGGTTTGTTTTACCAGCTTTATTTGCCCTTTTTCTATCTGCAGTGGACATTATCTTTATTTACTTCTTCTTTGAGGAAACTCTTCCAAAGGTATTTTTTACACTTAATTTAAGTTTTATTGCATGTACTTGTAGGCTATATGGCAATGCTTTCAATGAAAGTTGGAGGCATGATTAAGTACTTGATATTTCCAATGTGGTTTGAAATAGTAAGCTCTACTTCTTTCAAATAGTATTCTGTACAAGCAATTATGAATACATTGTGGGCAGCTCTGGCACAAATAGATTGATGGAATTACCTTGTTTCATCACCTATAATCTTAAAGAGTTTATCAATAAATATGACCGAAATTCAAAAATATATTTTTTATAGTAGGAAACTAGTCAACTGTCCTATATATCAGGGGTGATAAATAAGAAGACTGCGTCCTGAATATTTATCACCCATGATATATTTTTTTGGTTTATCTCCATTGAAAATCTTTTTGTAATACCCCAATTTTATCAGAAAAAAAATTTCTAGTTAACACATAAAGCACTGAAGGACTGTTCCTAAAAAATCAAAATCTAATTATTATTATTATTATAATTCTCCAATCATTTTTTATTAGTATTTCAGCTTCTTATCATTCTGTATAATAAGAATAAGTCGATTTGGGATAAAAAGACAGTATTGTATTAGTTTTATAGCTTATATGATGGGTGGTCCCCACAGCCTACTCCATTCTGTAGAATAAGTAAGAGAGTTGTGTTGGTATGACCAACCCTAGCCCCTGACGGTAAGACACTGCTTGCTGACTGCAAGTTATTAAAAAAATAATATATTAATGAAGACAATAAAAGGCACTGGCGTGTAATAATTAGTCATCATTTCATGGGGCATGCCTGAGACCCTGTGAAAAATCCAAGTTTTGGGCTATAGCCATTGGACACTAGTAGGGCTAGGGTAATCATCTAAATGGATAATTCACCAGTGTTTTTCATAGATCTCTATTGAGGAAATTTATACATATTTTATTAAGTGACCAACTAAGTAGTCTTAAACTAATATTTATGTTTTCATGGAAATGATTCAAGCAAATATACAGTTTCATTTTTTAAGAAAATTTAATTAATAAAAATAAGTTCTTACTAAATAGAATCTTCATTTGCACAATTATGCTGCTTCATAAAAAAAAAAAAAAGCTCTATGCTACATCTGAATGCAGCTTTCATTACCAACTGTTAATTATAATCGGATGTCAATCATAATTAAAGGTGTTGAGTATCTCATTATTATTATTATAAATTAACATTTCTGTTAAAAATTAATAAATAAATAATGAGAAACAATTACAGCTGCCAATTGCTTGAATTAAAGTAAAGATTACATGCACACCTGGTATGCTGCTGTTTGTATAAATAAATAAATTAAAATAATAATAATATATTTTGTAGATATATTATAGAGATAAATATCTGCTGTAGTATTATATACATGATCCCAAAATAACTTTGATTTGAAGATGAAAATTTGAGCAACAATTTTTTATTTCTATAAAAATCCATACTTAAGGGTTCTATTGAGGTGAAAAATGAATAGTAAATATTACATGCACTTGGTGGTGTGCATGTAATCTTTACTCAAGATACCTGGCTGATTTATATAAAACATTATATTAAGTTATGAACACATAAGATCTTAAATTTTATGCGTATTAGACTGACCGACGCAGCATTGTATTGGAACATTTTTTCTTGGGAGAAACAAGGTTCTTCATTTTCATAAGAAAAAATTCTTATTGCAATATAGAAATAATTTTTTTTTAAATGTCTTGAAATAAAATATTTTTTCCACTGTTTAGTTTCTTTATCAGTTTTAAAAGAAATAATTTAATTTTTAAAAATATATTTATAAAATAATTTTTTGGCTTCTGGTTTCACATTGAGAAAAATCATCGAAGTTAACTTTTTAAAATTAAGATCTTGTTTATAAAGTTTCTTGATAGATTTGAGAATCTGTTTTTTTTTTTTGTCTTCAATTTTTAATTTTTTTTTGTAAGGCTAGTTCTAAAGTAATTGTGTTACAATGTGTGCTAGCTTAAAGTTTTATCTTTTACACTTTTAAGTTTGCTGATATGCTAAATATTTCCTATCTTTTCCAATATCCTTGGAATATTAACAATAGTTTTGAGTCTATTTTAAAGCAATGATTCAAATTCTTATTTATTTATGTATAGTTTAGTTTTCTTATTCAGGATTGTTAAAACTGATATTTAAACTTTTTGATCACAATCTTTATGCCGTTCAATTAAAGAATTGTTTATTTTATAATTGTTTATTATCCAATATTTTCCGGTCAATTTTCATTTTTTTTTAATCTTTCTATTTATTTATTTTTTAAGTAATGAAAACTAAATTACAAATTGGTAATTTTTCATTTATTGTATCTAATCAATAATTGTTTCAGATTATCATATAATGAAATGCAGTGAAAATGTCACATTATGTTTAGGATTTATTATATTTCTTGTAAAGAAATTTTATATTTGTTTGAATTTTATTACACTATTAAATAATTATTTATTTTGTATAAGAATATATTAAGCAATACTTTTTTAAATGTTAAAATTATTCTTTTTTATCATCATTATCAATATTAAATGAAAACAATGAAAAACCTATCCAAACACGAAAAAGTGGTACCAGTTAATTTGCCATGAAGTAGAAAAAGACTGGGGGTTACTGAATTAATCTACTGATGTTTCAAAGAAAATTCAACTTCTAATCATAGTTATTTTAGCAAGCTTTATAGATATTTAAATTTTATGTATTACTAAAACCTTATTATTAAAAGATACCATCATTTATGACAACTTAGCATAGTTTCCACGGAAACATTAATTATCCATTCAATTATATAGAAGTTGATAGTATTAAATAAAACAATTCAGCCTTCAAATTTTGTCATTCTTCAATAATTTCTTTGACTTAATATATTAAATTTTATTTTGTTCTAAAATCTTAAGCTTTTCAGTAATATATTATACAAATATCCTATTATATCCTCACTTATTTCTGAATATCCATTTTCAACCTAAAAAAAAGTTTTCTTTTTTCTCCTTTGGTCAATTATCACATTCTTTCCTGGTTTAAATTGCTATCAATGAGATACAGTTAATTATTTAAAATGAACCTAATTAAATGTAATTTAGAGGTAGGTATTCAGAAAATTCAACATTTAAACATTGTAAGAGTACATCAATGAGGATAAGACCTAGATGATATTAAAGACCATTTGATTGTACATTAATATAATGAGTTTAATAATATTGTTGGAACCGTTTTTGAGAAAATTGTAAAAACGTTTAAAATTGATAATATTAAGTGGCAATTCTCATTAGTCAATTTTAAGGGAAAAGTTGGTGTAACATCTAAAGTATATACCTACCATTTTGTGGGACTTCCATAATAGTAACCCATTCCCTAACTTTATGTTATATATATGGGTAAGTGGAATTAAAAATTAAAAGAAGATCTAAGAAGGAGCAATGAGGTGAGCATGTTCTGCCAGAAAGTGAATACCAGCAGAAAACCCTTCAAGCCTTATTTAATTGCATACAAAGATACAGAAGGCACTCTCCTGAATGTATAGTAGAGTATACTAGATCAGTGGCAGAATCAATTTGTAAATATGCTGAACGATTGAGTTGAGAATCATCCCACTCTGTCTATAGTAGAGACATTAGTTAATCACTTGTTTCCAAAAGCATTACAATCTATCTAATATGTAAGCCATATTTATTATAAAATTGATTCCTTCTTCTCTTTATAGCAATAAGCTAAATAGCTAAAGGCAAAAGCAACATCTTTTGCACATCAAAAAGGTGTTTTTTTGTCTGTACGCCATAACTTTGTGAATTCATCATCAAATCCAATGATTGACCACTCATTTTGAAGATATTCTTCTCCTTCACATGTGAAAAATAGTCATATGCTCCCGAAATTTCTATAAAAAAAGTTATGAAGAAAAAGAAACTTTGTTTGCGAATAATTCAAAAAGTATGCATTTTTTTTTCTGGATTGCACTCATAATTATTAGAAAGATTTCTAAATTACCTGCAAAACAAAACATAAATCTTAAAAATCGGCCATTTATTAACAATGATACCATCCAAATTAGATTTGGTTTACTTATTTTTTCTTCTTTGAAGGTACTTCATTTACTATTTTACTACTTTTTTTTCCTGGCTGATATATACTTTATTATTTATTAAATGCATTTTTTTTAATCGTGCTTTTTATATTTTTTAATAATTTAGAAAATCCCATAATATTTTGAATATTACAATATTCCGTTTTCAACGGAAATAGACGTTTTGAGGTACCCTGAGTCGAAATGACCAAGTCCCGAAAAATGGTCTTTGTGTTTGTATGTTAGCAGTCTAGCTCAAAAACGAAAAGTCCTACGAAACTGATATTACGTATTTAAGATAGGTATATGCCTTAGAGGTGACAGCAACTTTTTCGTTAAAATCGGCATACCAGAAATGCCACTTTATATCAACGCTGAAACACATTTTCACAATTTTCTCAAAAACGACTAACGATTTTGATTAAACTCGGTGTATCATTGTATAATTAAGTGGTCTTTAATATCAATTAGGTCTTATCCCCATTGATGTCACTTTACAGGGCTTAAATGCCCAATGTTCATATACGTCTTCCTCTAAAGTACCTTTAATATGGTTTATTTTAAAAAGTTAATCATTTCACATTATTCAAAGTAATGAAAAAATGCTAAATATAACTTTTGAAAGAATATGATAAGTTAATAAAGGAGAAAAAAAAATGCAGAAAAACCTGCGTTGCTATAGACTGTAGCACCTAAACGAGTGCACCGATTTCAATGAAACTTCGCTAAAGTCATTTTTTCGAAACCCTTAAAATTTATCTATATAACATTTCAACGAAAAGAAGCTGGAAAAAAAGTTATGAGGGATGGTAAAATTAAATTCCGAATAACTCAAAAAGTATACACTTTTTTGGGAATATTGTATATGGTTTTTCAAAAGTTTATGGAATTTCCTAAAAAAAAAAAAAAAAAAATCGTTAAGATCGGACAACTAGGAGGAAAGATACGGTCTCTAGTTTTTTTTTTCCTGAAGAGGCGAAAATTTGGATAAATTTAAAATATACTTTTTTAATTGTTGAGACTAAAAAAACCTTTTTTTCTACAGATATTTAATGAAGTATCTTTCCTAAGAACATTTTTCATTAGAAATAAGTACCTAAATTTGTATTCTCAGTTCTATATTTCAACACTGCAACACCACCTCCGGAATCAACTTACTCATTGGCTGCATAGATAACTTTTTCAACTAAAAATATCACTAAGATGACATCACTTAAAAATATTGAAATTGGAGTTAGTCATTCTGAAGTTTATAAAAGCAAAGAAAGTTATGTGGTTAATAAAAGCAGATGGAGTGACTAGATTTTTATTGCCTGTTGTCGATATATTAAATAGACATTTTGTAATTATAATGGTCTTACTGAATTGTTATCTGTAAGCTTTAAGCTTTAGCTCCGTGATAATTTTTTACTTTTTGTATTTTGAAAAATAAGCATTTTTACTTTCACTTACTATATATGAAATATATAGTAAAGGTAAGTATTGCGATCGTGAAAATTTTTTAATCTCACTTTTCAACAGAAATAAATGTTTTGAGGTCCCCTGAGTCCAAATAACCAATTCTCGTAAAATGGTGTGTGTGTATGACTGTCATAAACGAAAAGTAGTACAAAATTGATATTACTTATTTAAGATTTGTATATGGTTCAGATGTGACACCAACTTTTTGGTTAAAATCGGCTTACCAGAAATGCCACTCCATATCAACCGTGAAACACATTTTTACTATTTTCTCAAAAACGGCTGTAATGATTTTGATTAAACTTGGTGTATCATTGTATAATTAAGTGGTCTTTAATATCAATTAGGTCTTATCCCCATTGATGTCACTTTACAGGGCTTAAATGCCCAATGTTCATATACGTCTTCCTCTAAAGTACCTTTAATATGGTTTATTTTAAAAAGTTAATCATTTCACATTATTCAAAGTAATGAAAAAATGCTAAATATGAAGTACAAAGTATAAAGTATAACAGTCAGAAGGTATACGTATAATATATCGTTGGAAAGCAGAGGATTTTAGAAAAAATAATATCAAATAAATAAAGTTGTAGAAGATCACGGAGAGTGATGATAAAAATATAAAGAATGATTTCAGAAAACTAACATAATTTAATGTTAGTCACGTTTCCAAGGAAATTAAATGAAATTTTCTTACTAAATGTAGACTTTAAAATTTTTTTCTATATTTAAAATCCACCAAATCAAGCCAATGCCATTGTTTAAAATACTATTTCATTGTACTTGTGTGAAATATAAAAATATTTCATGGATATGTTTATAATCTTAAATACATTTGCTGTTGTTTAATAACTCTAGATCTTGTATTCTATTTAAATAATTAGGTATCTATTGGCCGTTTATTCCAAAAAATCATCAAGTAACCTATAAAAATTAAATTAGTGAATCATTTGATATAGTTTTCCTTTGTGAAATCCCAACATTATCCTCTTACAATTAGTATGGGGTGTAGCGAAAGCACAAAGTCATTTATTGCACTTTTTCTTAATTATCTGAGTAAATATTGAGTTTGGATAAAAAATATATATATAAATTATATTTTTTATCATAAAAAATTAAACTAGGATAAATTCTTTTCTGAAATGATCCTATCAATTTTTTTGTTTTAATATTGGCTACAAGGATTTATGAATCGAGGAAGAAATTATAGAATAAAATACTAGAATACTAGAATGTCTAGGATTTATTGTTACATGTTGTTGGAAAATAAAAGTAAAAGTAGAGCCAAGGCAGAAGAATTCCACCATAAATAAAATTAAAAATCTTTGAAATACTCAAGTTAGTGTTAGTTATTATTTTGTTTTCCTAATGTCACCTTTGTTAAAAATAGACCATGGATTGGTTCTATATTTTTGTAAGCAACAAGGCTGGATAGGAAATGGTAAACATCCAGATTTTTTTTAATTTTAATTAAATTCCCCAGGTTCTATCTCCGGAGAAGAAAAAAAAAAAAAACGATTTTATATATTTACAAATTTATAATGTGGACTGATTTTAAAATAGGAGTAAATATCTCAGGGAGGATGGAGAAAATGAAGTTTTAAACTGAAAGATCATACCTTACAAGACTGTTTAAATTATTTTTTAACTTTTTATTGTAACTTTTATGATCTAAAACCAATGTCTTGATATGTATCAGTTGTTAAAATTTAACTGAATTTTAGGAAAAACGAGCCAAATCGATTGCAGCTAGTTTAGGGCATGCTATGACCTACATCAATATAATTTCATTATTTAAATTTTCTGCTGTTCAGAACTTATCACAATCAGGTGAGTTATTCATAAATCTTTTAATACAGTTTTATTATCTGATGAGTAATTTGTAAATATTATTAAATGTTTATGAATATAATTATAGAGATATCATTGACTATACAAAAAATCTGGTGTGTCCACTCACACGACTTTCCTACCTATATCAGAAAAGTTTTTATATTTATACATATGTAAAACAATAAGGAACCGATTTTATTTTAACAACAGGAATATAGGAGAGAGATTCGTATATGAAAGGAGTGGTAGGTGATTGCGGGGAGTTGGGAGAAGGGGAGGTTGTACTCTTTTTGGTATCTTATCCGTTCTAGCCCTGAAGAAGACCTGCAAAATTGGGTCGAAACGTTGGCTTTTAATAAAATAGTTTTGCCACTATTTAGCCTATTTATGACCACCACCTCGGACCATCTCCTTCCTTGATAAACATTTATATATATTTTTAATTTTGGATTCTATCTAAAAATGTATTTTACTTTATTATATTAATAACTAACAATTATTTATTTACTATTGTTTATTCAATTATCAATTGCAAAGAAACAATATTCTTGTTTGGCCAAATTGAAGTGACAAATATTCTCTTTGAGATTCTCTAACAGGATTTAAATGCCAAATTTCTTCCTCTAAAAGTACCTTTATTTTATTTTTTTTCTTTGAAATAATTAACCATTTCACATTGTTATTGGCTATAAAAAATAGTAAAATATAAAATAATTTGATAATTAACTAAAAGAGAAATAAGGGATCTTAACAGAGAATAGTAGTAATTGAGGAACCGGATATACCCGAATGAGCACCCGAGCTTGGCTGAAAGGTTAGAACAGGCTTTCATACGTAACACGTGCTTAATATAATACGAGCTCCGATAATATTATATCCATATATACATGTGGTTTTCATAAATGCTAGCAATGGTATTATTTAATATTTAATTGTTTAGGTTACAGCAATACATAAATTAAAATTTAAATATATACCAAGGCTTAAACAAATAAAAATGCCTATAATGAAATATAGTGGCTATCTTAATCAGTGGTATTCTTGTAGGGCTGTATAAAAATATTTTGTGGCACTTAATTATTTATTATAAACAAATAATTATTAAAATATATACTCATAAAAAGGAATGGTTGGTGACAAAAAAACATAAGTTTAATACATTAGACAGCTATGGAAAACATTGTAATTAATTGTTTTAGAAAAGATTTTGTATCTATAATTTTTACTGTCACTTCCGTTTGTCTAAAAATAATTATTCCTACTAAAAAGGGTGGTAAGTGAAAGTTGTGTGATGTGTCCTCCGCACCAAATTTTATTTTCGTGCTAATTGTGGTTTTGGTAACATCTACTGTCCTCCTTAATTAAATATTTGTATGTGAATAGTGAGTTGTTGATAGATTCGATCTTTCTGAGAGTCAAATTTTTTATCCCACTAAAACACCATTTCTTTTCGTTGTTTTCGGATTTTGTTGAAGGTTTAAAATTAGTAAAACAATAAAATACTTTTTATCTGTTTTTTACACAGAAATTAGGGAAAATATGATCGTAGTCTGCTTTGTTGCTCAAGAATTTGATTTTTTTTTTTTTACCGAACTACAATAAGAGGAAAATAAGACCTCTGTAAAAGATGTTATGTATTTGTTACCCTTCTGAAATGTCATAATATTCAAGAAACACTTGGGAATGTACAAAAAAAATGAACTGGAATTTTGTTGGAGGAAACTCTGAAGAACCTAATAATGTATAAAAAAAATTGTAAATCTATGGGGGGAAAAGGAAAATGTAAGTAATGGTTTTGAAAAGAAAGGTTGGAAATTCAAAATAAAAGTTGGATAGAACATAAAAAATACATTGAAATTTTTCTTCAAACAATGCTCCATTTCGGCCCTCCGTTGTTGGTTATGATCTTTGATTGATTGGATTATTTTATTATATGACCAGAAGTGATTGTATTCGTTTGGCAGACATGAGCCAAAAAAGAACTTTTTGGCATCAAAATTTGACTCATTTTAAGGTAGTTAGAACTTTTTTCAAACAACACTATTCCACCCGCAGGCCTAAAAAGACCATATCTGTGACTGGAAGTGATTGTATACGTTTTGCAAACACGAGACAAAACCCCACTCATTTTTCTGCATCATTAATTAAATGAAACTATTAAATACTAATAATTGGATAATTGTAATTGTTTATCATACTTCAATATTGTCTTTATAATTAGAGGTCATATTTTTTAAATGCTTTTCTTTTCTGTATTAATTTTATTCTGCCCATCATACTTCACAGTACACTTTGGAATCTCTGCATCAAAATTTGATTATTTGAAGATAGATGGAACTTTTATAAATAAAGCTAGTCCGCCAAGGGCCTAAGAAAACCTAGCCTGCCAACTGGAATTGAACTCAAAATCAGTCGGTAGACTCGAGTTTAAGGCCAAATTTTTCGCTTCTAGATTTGACTTTTTATGTGAAGATGAATGAATCTTTTCTAAATAAAACTAGCACCCTCAGTGAGTAAAAAACTAATACAAAATTAATCAATCGGAAGCAGTCACCGGTAGATATAATTTAACAACCACCTTATTTGCTTAAAAACTTCACTCTCGATAAATAGGACATTAATTAAATGAAACTATTAAATACTAATAATTGGATAATTGTAATTGTTTATCATACTTCAATATTGTCTTTATAATTAGAGGTCATATTTTTTAAATGCTTTTCTTTTCTGTATTAATTTTATTCTGCCCATCATACTTCACAGTACACTTTGGAATCTCTTTTTTTTTATATATAACCTCCAATGGTATTCTCTAAATTGGAAATAACTAATAAATAAATTCCTGGATAAGCAAATTCTGGAGTTGAGGTATTAAATGCAGGTGTGACTGAGAAACCTCTCTATCACAAAAAATCGAATTACTTTTTTTTTATACAGTTGTTTACTTTATTTGTAATTTTCTGTACCATTTGTTTTATTTTATTTTTTCCAGGAAGAGAGTCTTTAATACGTTTGGGATTGATTTATTTTGTGTATCTTTTTCTTTACTCCGGTTTGGAATTCACCTTGACCTTTCTTACTCATTACCATTTTGGTTTTACTCCTATGCATCAAGGAACAATGTTCTTTTGTATTGGATTTGTTATGGCTATTCTCCAAGGAGGATATGTCCGCAGAATACCTACTAATAAAGTTAAAACTGCTGCTTTTTTTGTAAGTTTCAGTATTAAAAATGTAAGATATTTAATTTTTTTTATTATGTTTAGCTCCTATATGTACTCTAAATAGGACAAGAAGAGAAAAGTAATATGGGAGTTAATTAAACTAAATTCAGTTTTGGATGGAAATTATAATGTTAATTTAAAACATATAATGTACTTTTAATAGGTGTTTGAAAAATAACCAATACATAGTGGTAGTAATAAAATCAATCTTTTATAACCTTTATAAGTATGGTGATAGTTTTGTAGCCAACTATTCAATTCACTGTTGAAACTGTTTTCGAAGGCTCAGAATTGATATCTGTTGCTACTTCTAAATAGATAGTCCATAACCAAGGTTTCTATAACTTAAAATTCTGCAAACTATGACAGTTATACCAATAATAATAGTTATACCTTAATCAAATAAATATGTGTTTCATGTTACACTAAGTCCAAATAGTGTGGGCAAATGAAATATAAACGTTGTTTACTAATATTAGTCTGTTTAAGAATATTTTCTTTTCATTTCTTGTTAAGAAATATAGTCAATAATTGATCAAAAAGTTATAATTTTTGAATTATTTGCTAATAAAATTCTACATTCATTGTAACTGTTTTTTTCCAGCTTCTACATGTATATAAGTAATACAACTTAATAAGTAAAAATAATGAGCATTTTGCAACAGCAAGGCAAATATCTTCCTTTTGCTTTCCCCCTTTCTTCCTATGTCTGGTCACAATTATCTTACCTTGATCTCACAAGCTTGTTGAATTTACAAATATCAAATTATAAAGATTGTAGCATATTGAAAATAATGTTCCAAATTTTATTTATTGAATAATTAGAGTTTTAGGAAATATCATCTATTTGTCTGAGTTTATGGATATTTGTCAGATATTTTAAGATATTATTTGGAATGTAAATGTTCTACAACCATCCATCAAAGTTTTTGGTTAATTATTTTCAATAATAAACCTTTGTAATCGATAAATAAAAAAAGATTAACCCCTTCAAAATTTGTATACTTAGGTTTTAAGATACATACATAACTGACATGACATCCAGTCTCCGAGACTGGGCCACCTTCAAAAGTCTCTGCCAGTTTGTTTGGTCGTTTGCTGCAGCTCTCCAGTTTCGGACTCCAAGAAGTTTGTTTGTCCAGAAGAGCTTGATCTTAGTCCGGTTAGAGAGCATTCTACTTATAAAATGTTTAGCAAGGCCAAAGTAGCAACAGTTAGCTGCTGCAATCCTCCTGCTTATTGTCTGGTTAATGTCATTTTGGGAGTTGATTTTCAAATCCAAATATGTGAAACTTTTTACCTCCTGAAAAGGGTACTCTCCTGCATCAAAATATCCAACTCCTGATTTGGTTCCTTCAATGCGCATGTATTTTGTTTTGGCCTCATTAACAACCAGGCCAAGATTTCTAGAAGCATCTTCCAGAGCTAGGAATGATTCTCGTTGTGGCTGTTCCGATCTGGCAGCAATATCAAAATCACCCGCATATCTCAGAAGCTGGAATGTGATATTAAACAATGTTGATTGAAATTGGATTCCAGACTTCCTTATTGCTTTCTCCTCTGCATTATATTATCCAAACCACACATCCAATAACAGAACATGGATCCTGTAAGTAATCTGATTGTTAAAATTAATTGGCACCTGAGCGTATGATCCATAAATTGATAGTAATTTCACAAACATCAAATTATATTTTCTAAAATAATTAAAATAAGTCGTAAATTTTATTAGTCATATTTTTCTCGGAAAATAATAAGTCTTGGGGATGAGTGTAGTTAAAATGCAAAAATGTAGGACGTTTTTGACAAGAATAAAAGAAAAACCATAGTGATAGATTTTTGCATACTCGACTTCACTTTCCATCTGGTCTATACAGACTGTTTGCCTTGTATTGAAGGTCATTAGAAAGGGTGTAGGGTTGTATTTTTTATTTATTTTATAAACCATAGAATGTAATTATGGGTTTTTTGCTGATGTCTGATATAAATTATGTGAATTGTTTTATTAGATTAATCTTCATTTTCTCTAGGTGCTTATGTTTTCAGTATGATACAATCTTTGCTTATTGTTTAGAACTCTTTTGAAAATATAGAAAACATAAGATAACCTTTGTTGTTGTAAATTTTGGTACATCTCAGTTTTTATGGATTATTGAACACAAATTTGAGGTTTACTGAAAAATATTTCTCACCAATTTTTATTATTGTTTTCATAAAATGTCAAAACTTTTTTTTTGTTATTCACATATGTCTCAAAAAATATTTTTTTCCAAGATGACCACTAACAAATAACATATACGGATTAGTAATTATCAGGATTGTTAAAAAAAAAGAAAAAAAAAATATATATATTAAATATGAAATGAAATGAAAAAATAATTTTATTCTGGGACTACTGTCCCCTAAGGATAATAACAGAGTTACAAATTTATGGATATTAGTCTGACTTAAAATAATAAAAAAATGCAAACTAATTAACTGTTAATTGTTATTGCAATTATGCAGTAGATTGAAATTAAAGAGTCTACAGATGCAAGTAATTTTACATTTTTGCGGAAGTTTGAATGTGGAGTAGGTGTTGGAACAGCAGTTGTTTGAACGAAATTGTGGACGAGGATTGACGTATGGAGGTAGGAGGAAGAGAGTTCCATAAGGACATGAGCCTCTTTTCCTTATTTCAGGACTACAGCACTAAATATGTCGTTTTATTTTATTTTTCAAGTTTTTTAAATCACTTTCCATCCTTCTTAGGTGAAGAATTTTAAGTAGAAAAATATAATATAAATCACCATCATATTTTTAGTTTTAATTTTAATTTTCAGAGGAACATTAAATTCAAAATGGCTGCAAAGAAAAATGTATTAGTCTTAAAATTGTTTAAACTATAGTTTTGAACTTACTATTTACTATGGAATAACTGGTAAAGTAAAATTATAAAAATCAAAATTTTCATGAATTTCAGTCTCGATAGTATTTACTGGGTAAGCCGACGTTTCTAGCTAAACGTGTGGGTCATCATCAGGGCCATCGTTTGGATGTCAAAACAAGAAATCCGAGAAACTACGGTGCCAAAAAAACCACAGTAGTTCTTTTCTCGACATCTGAGCGATAGCCGTGATGATGTTAACGTCGAAATGTCAGCCGACCCAATAAATATTACTGTGACTGAAATTCCTAACAATTTTGTTTCATCCTCATAATTGATCAGTCGACTATTTACCCTTCTCTAAAATTTTCTATAAAAATCAAAAATTTCGATCAACAAAATTAATTGAAATTTTGATTTCAAACGGATTGTCCCATAAGTGTTCTATTTATAACTAATAGAAATTTGTAAATAAACAATGTATACATTATTTTCTGTGATAAATTATAATAACATTATTTAAAATTTATATCACCTCAAATGTTTTTTCAATAGGGACTGCTGCTTATTGTTCCATCTTACATTTCTGTTGGTGCTGCGTCAACTGAAATACTTCTTTATTTTGGTGTCTTTCTTTATGCTTTGTGTAAGTATATTAACAATGCTGAAAACAAGATTATCATATTTTAAATATTTATTATATACCATCTGATATGTATGACATTTCTTTATTTTCTCATAAAATTGTTTAGATAGTGTATTAATATAAACTAGTAAAAACTTACCTAGAGATAGAAAATAGATATTAGGTTATAATTAGTTAAATTGTGTGTGTTTGTAAAAACAATTCTTTATACTATTTCTAAATTTTCATTAGCTGTTGAATTTGCCTTTTATGTCCAAAAGAGCTCAAATTGTAGGTAAAGTTCTTAAACTCAGAGCTAATTCATTGATGGATTTCCGATGCTCATAAAATGTCTCAGCGCTGAGTTTAGGAACTTTTTTTTTTTTTGTGTGTGTCCTCCCCTTCCTCGCTGTTAAGGCTATACGGAGTTTTCCCGGGCCAGGGAGTGTGGGCGGGAATTTAAAATACTCTCGGCACCGGGATGCGAACTTGTGTCTATTTTATATCATTTGATTGATATATCAGGTTGCCGGACAACGGCGGTGCTGTGCACACGCGTTAGCCCATTCGGCTACCCCGCCCACATGAGTTTAGGAACTTGCACACTGTTACATCGATGAGTTTATGAATGGCCTGATGGATTTCCAATGCTCATCAATGATTTCAGCACTATTTAGGAACTTTCCCATACTGATGGGGGTAACCTTATTTTCAGTAATAAAAAAGGTCTTTAAAATTAGTAGATTAGCTTACTCAGAAATGCATGAGGAGGGGGGAGGGAGGAGGTGGACTTGATCCATAATGTATCTACTAGACCAGTCAGGCCTTCTCTCAGTAGGGAGAGTGAATTAAAAATTAAATAAGTAATTTGGGGGCGGGGTGGCCGAATGGGCTAAAGCGTGTGCACAGTACCGCGAGTTGCCTGGCAACCGGATTACAGACTTAAGAAAATTTTAAAAAGTACGAGTTCGCGTCCCAGTGCCGGAGGGAATTTTAAATTCCCCGCCTTCACCTCCCGGCCCGGGAAAACCCCGTATAGCCTAAAAGGCGAGGTAGGGAAGAACAAAAAAAAAAAGTAAGTAATTATATTATTTTGTTAATTTCTTTGAATTTTATGAATTGTAAGTGGCAAGTGTTTTGGCCGTTATCCATTATCAGTTTTTACTTTATAATATTACCAATCAAAATATTAATAAATAAATTAAATTAAATTAAAATTAAACAAATTACTTGGAAATTTGGAGTAAATTTTGGGTAAATGTGTACTTTGTTAGTTAAATTGAGACAATAGAAATAAATTTATTAAAATAAAAATAAAACAAAGTTTTAAATTCTTGTCAAATAAATATAATACAAAAAATATTGTTATTAGAATAATACAAATAACACGTTATATTGATTGGAAACTGTTTTCTGGGTCATAGGTGTTTTGAAGACTTGAGATTTTTGTACAATGTTAAAATTACTTTCACTTTACTTTAATTTTTTATTTTCCACTAAGTTAAGTTGATTTAAATGAAGAAATATAGTGATCTGATGTCAGCAAAAGATGGTGTAAAATCACCTTGTTTGAAGCTTCAACCATATTCTGTACATTAATATATAGCTGCTATAAGACTATAGATAGGCACAATTTAAATACTTTATACCTTTACTTGTTTTCTGACATACTTATTGTAAAAATTAAGAAAAATCTTTAATCTTCATTTACTAATGTTAAAATATAGTATAAGGCATGAATAGATATAGATCACTTAAAAGGATTTTATAATTATAATAAAAACTTTACTGTAATGTAATTAATCATCAATAGTCACATTATGCTAAGCTTATATTAGGAATTAGCCGGTGGTGGTGATATATTGTTTTAAAATTTTGGGACACTATGTCTTCAAGTAAAATATATTTAGGCATAAAGTTTCATCAGCCTATAAAGACAGTGTTAAAATTATTTTTGACCATTTATTTTGCTACTTTGTCACACTGTTTTCTGTGCAGAAGGTGGAGGGACTTCCCAGTGTGCCAATAAATAAATAATATTTGTTATCCGTCCTTGTATTTACAAGCTGCCAGTCGTAGACAGCATGTAAATGAGCCTTAAGAAAATATAAAAATATTTACATATTTTATATTAGATTATGTTAGTATTTTTTTAATAATAATAAAAAAATTAACTTTAACCTTCACACTAAAGATTTTTTAATAAGATACTAAAGATACAATTTAAAAACAATTTTATATGAAAACCAAAATCTTTATTCAATTTTTTAATTCAATTAACAGTAAAATAGAAAATATGAAAAAATTACTCATGGAAATATATTGGAAAAATAGCCTTCTTATCCAACTCCTTAGTAATACAACCAAAGGCAATATAACAGGACAGTTCTTCTTCACTTTACTATTGATCAAAACAAACATGGTTCATAAAACAAATAAAAACATAAATCAACTTGTCAACTTAAGGCTAGGTCAGGAAGATTAGAGATAGGATAGGTAATCTCAACATAAAATCAAATAGAAGGGACATTGCCCAATTGGTAGGTTTCCTTTTTTTTCACCAGAATAGTTCATTCTTAGACCCAAATGCAGCATTCGATTTGGTGGTCTGGAAAGAGATTTGGGAATCCTTGAGAGCAAGGAACGTACCTAGACCCAAAGGGTGATGTGTGCCTAAAAGACCAGGATTTCAAAATAAGCAAAGTCACTTCACGTTGGTAGAAGTCAGTGAAGAGTTGATGGAGATGATGACAGACATCTCCTATCTTTGGCACTGCTTCTGAAATGAAGTTTCTTAAGAGATTTGTGGAGAAACTGTGTTTGGGATGACTGGATTAGAGAAGAACTGAATATAAACTCAGTGATGGGAATGCTAGAGAAGAGGCAAGTGAGGTATGGACATGTTTGCCACATGGACCATCACAGAAACCTGATTAAAACAATGATATTGAGATCGATAGGAAGAAGACTGAGTAGAGGTGACCAAGAACCTCTTAAATCACTTACATGAAATGAATAGGGAGACACAAAGGGAAGAAATATCTGGGGAGAAATCAAGAACCTTACCTGGGTCAGAAATACAAGGCACCAATGGATGGAAGAATAAGAGGACATTTCTTCAATATATTTCACTTTTCATATTCAAATTTGTCACAGATGGCCTATACCTTAGGTGGAGAACCTTTTTATCATTAGAAGCCACAATAAGGTTAGGCAGTGCTAATGGAGACCGCAAGAATTCTTCATATTTTACCATTGCTATGTTTATTTATCACTAAATACATACTTACATTAAACTTAATTCTATTAATTTCCAAATTGTCATTACTTGAATAATTAAATATTAATTAATTATATCACTAGATTAATAAATATCTATATTATCTATAGTGAAAAAATGTTTGGACGTTAAACTACGTCACAGAGGCCGTGGTTCCTCACCTATGGCCTATACAATCTTCTTCCTAATTTAAGAATTAAGAAATTTTATTAAAATAAGAAGATTCAGTAAAATTAATGTTAATGTTTTGTTTGTTTATACTTGATAATAGGTAATAAATTAGTTAAATTAATACATTACTAAATACTTGTTTGTTTGAGTCTTCAAAATCTATAAGTAATATTCAATTATTAAGACTTTTCTTCATATAATTTCAGTTATTTTTCCTTTTTAGCTACTGCTTTTGTTGTCCCTTGCCTAACAACACTGGCATCTCAGTTTGGAGGAGATGACACAAAAGGTACTGTGTTAGGGGTGTTTAGATCTCTTGGAGCACTTGCAAGGGCTCTTGGCCCCATTGTCGCTTCTATCTGTAAGTCACTCGATCGCAAGTATTGTTTAAAAAAATATCTTTGCATATTATGTATATTTATAATTTATGTATAATTTTTTTTTTCTATAGCATTTTGGACATTTGGTTCGAGGGTGACCTATCTGGTAGGGGCTGTTGCACTTCTGTGGCCTTGCTATACTTTGAAAAAAACCAAGTTTAAAAATGAATAAATTAAGACTATTCATTTAAAAACAAAACAAAGGAATAAAAAAGTAAGAAAGCATAACTTCTATTATGAATGGTAATTCATATTAACATGAGGTTAAGTGCTGGACTGAAAAAAAGGTAATTATTTTGTTTTTTATTGTAATCTTAATCATCATTTAAATCAGTACCAGATTTTGATTGCTAATAAAACCTAAAGTATGACATTCGAATAGGCAGTTATAAACTTAAATATCACTATTAATTTAACTTGAAATAAAAATATTAAAATTGTGGGTTGATGGTTGTCTGTAGTGAATAATGAAGAGAAGGATAGTTGGGGTGATCAGTCAAAAATAAGAAATAATATTTGTTTTAACATTTGCCGACGTTTCGACCCGAAGTTCAGGCCTTTATCAGGGCTGAACTTTGGGTCGAAACGTGGGCAAATGTTAAAATAAAAATATTAAACTTCCTTTAATTTTCATTATAGAATCGTCATTTTGACGTTTCGAAGAATATTTTCCCCATCATCAGAATTTTTATTATATGCAAATCAGTTATCTCACCTCTCTTCTCGGCCTAACTTAACCAAAAATAAATAATAAAATATTACAATAATACAAATTTAATAATAAATATTACTAATTGAAAAGAAAGTCAGGAACAAACTGAAATTGAAACTGACAATTAACCTAAGTTTAAAATAGAAGGGACAAGAAGAAGGTTTAGAAAGCTGGAAAATGAAAAAATCCATATTTCAAGATATCAATTATTGAATGTAGCGTTATTTTGTTGATTTAACAGTATTTTGTTGTAATGAATCTATGGATGTAATCTGGAATTTTATTTTCAATTTTGCATTTTAATTTCATATTTATACTTTTTTTTTTACTAAGTTAATTCATATAATCAAACTATACAGTTATATACATTCATCGTCAAATATGCAAAATAAAATTTGGATGATTGTTTCTAAGTACAATGATTTGTAAAGATATTCAATCAACTGTTTAAAGAATTTGTGCAAAAAAAATGCAGATACATCAAAATATAGATTTTGTTTATAACTAATCTTCTTCTTCTTCTTCTAGGACTGTAGACTTAAATGTTCATAGCCCGCTTCAACATCTGCTGCAATGGTTCTATGACCTCTACATTTGAATGCCTTCTGCTAAATATCCTCTTTTTCTTTTTCCTCATTGTTGTCCTTGACAATAGTGGTGAAACTATTTCCTTAAGGTAGAATTTAGCTGAAACTGTCCACCATAGAGTATTTTGTTGAAACTATTCACCGTAGCCGTCAACCCCTCATGTTGCTAAGTTTGTTGTTGTTCTAGTCTTTGTGGAAAGAATATATTCATGAGAGTTAGTGATATGAATGTCCTTCAAACTTTTTTTAGACTGGAAAGAAGATATTATTAAACATACTTTATTATACTGAAATATTTATATAAGTATAAAGGAAAATGAACAAAGTTTTAAGGCTATGGCTTCATGCCTTCTGCCCGATTTTACTATTTAAATTAAAACGTGAAAATGAACGATGCATAATGGAATAAAAATAAACTTTTGAAAACAATAAAAATTGTAGTAACACAAATAAAATGGTGGAGTTATTAAATAAAATTAGTGATTCATTATAATATTCAGAACCTAAAAAAAATCTTTGAAATGACAACTTGGATCAAAATAACAATTGGAACACTATAAGAAGGAACCGTTTTAATGTCAGCCATCAGACTGCTACTGAAGCAGTTGAGACACAGCAGCAGAGATTTGTCAAACCATGACTGCCAATGAAATATACCCCATTCAATTTCTTCGAAGTAGTATTCAAATGTCAGCAGTCACTACCAGCCACTGTGGTGGACAGTACCAGAAATTCACCTTTTATATACCTGTCTATCATCCAATTAAATTGACCATACCATCACAGTCTATTCATTTTTATGGCATTGGTGATTAACTAAATTTTAGACCACATTATTTTTTAATGCTCGATCCTCCAACTTTTTAAAATAACCTTGTTTTTTTTTTGTTTTTTTGCCAATTTCTTTTGCCACTTCATTTCAGAAAAAATCGACAGATGAATCATAAACTTTTTGTTTCATGTTTTTTAAATACGTCACTTTAAATTTAACTTATTCATACATAAATTTTGAATACTGTGGACCCTCACTAATGCTGGTCAAGAGAAATAAAACCACATATACACCTTACCAGAAACCCTGTTAATCATCAGATTTGTTGTAATAAATTTTGAGACAGTTGTTACCGAATTATCCATGAATGATTAAATTGTGGTTTGTATTTTACTTATTTTTTAACTATAAGAAGCTACATAGCAGAGGTACAATGTATTAATCTTTTGAAGTGTACATTTTTTATAAATTAAACAAAAATATTTTGTAAGTGTTTAGTTGTATTGTGTTTAGTAATTAATTAATAACATGAGGATATTGTTGTTTTAAACCAATATAAGTATTAACCGTGTATTTCTAAACTTAAAAAATTGTTCTTGAAGTTGCTATTATTTCTATTAATTAATATCTATACTTTTTATGAAATCAGTATTTTAAAAAGTCTTCCTATCCATTTTTAGCCTTCTTAAGTTACAGATGGTCCTCACTTTTCATATGTAATTGGTTCCTGAAAATATATTTGAATAAAGAATTTTTGAATGTAAAAACATATGCACTAAAAGTGTGTTTTGGAGATTTAGTGTAAGTAGGATATTTTTCATAAAGCTATGCTAACCAAGCATCTTTTAGTGTTGCCTGCTTTAACATTCATGAGTCTAGAAGCGCTGGTTCAAATTTGGTCTGGGGTGTTGAAAATTATTTCGTGGCAGACCCACCAAATGGATTTAGAACTTCACTTTGTTGAAGTTTGGTTGCACCACTTGAACAACATTCCCTGTATGACAGAAATGAAAATTTGGCTGGCTCTGGTTTAATCACTTCAATAATGTATTCGGTCAAATATTAGTATGTTTTTTCAGATTAATCAACTATGATATAAGTATTCTACAGGGAAACAAATTTTTTTGTTATTGAAAAAAAAATATTAAAAGCAGAATTTTTAAAAATGTGAGTGAATAGAGAGAAGTAGATTATGTGAAAATCGATGAGGGTCATCTGTAATATCAGTGTAATGCAATTTAAGATTAATTCATTGATAAATTTATTTTATTTTTCGTTAATTTTATTTTTCTAGTTGCATTATAAAAACAATGTGTTTTAGTATTATATTGTTGTTAAATATTGAAAATTAGTTTTTAAGAACTGATAATTCCATAAAGATTTTAATTTAACTTATTAATATTATTTTAACTAATGCAGTATTATATTATCCATAAAGTATTGGCTAAAAAACTCTCCAAATGTGAGTAAATATTCTTTCTGTTGTAAACTTTTTCTTTATACTGTACAGTCTTGATAATTCATAATCAGAGCCCTGATTTTTGTGCTGTGAAAACCTGCAGAATATACGATATATTATGCACCAAAAAACCGTATTACCAATATGTCCACACAAATTCTGAACTAAAACAGAAATTAGAGGTTAGAATTGAAAATTAAATGAAAATCATTTCAAAATTTATTGTTGTAATGTTTCTATATAAACTATTTTGGTTTATGTAAAAAATAAATACATTATGTATAAATACAAAATGCACAACTTAAAGCAATGTTAATATAAAAAAATAGGAAATAAAAGTTTATGTGTTATTGCTAAAAAAACAACGTGAAACACTTTTTTCAGCAATAGGTAATTGTATTTAAAAAACTATTTATATATACAGTATTAAAAAATAAATGTATTAATTGCAATGAATATGAAGTAGTTAGAGCACATAAGATACAGTAATTGTGTAAAAGTATACTGAGTTTTAAAAAATAATGGGAGATACTTTTTAATTCAAAATTAAAATATGAAAGTAATAAAAACTTACTAGAAGTAATAAAAGAAAAATCATTAATGATTGCTTTGAAAAACAACTTTTCCACGAGTTTTAAAAACTGTTTCATCTTATTGTTAGGGTCAATTCAATTAGTTTTATAAATATATTTATTGAAATTTACCATACAATACAGGTAAATATGAATTAGGATAATGACATGGGCAGACTTTCAGAGAAATTATACATTGATAGCATTCCAAAAATAGTTCTATATTAGAAGGTTGCAAGATCATTTTCTTTTCAGATGCCTCGGAAGAATGTGACGAATTGAAGAGGATTTAAGATATTAGAAACTAGTGGATTTGGATGGGTCAGGAGTTTATTATAAACCGATAGATATCTCAATTTGGTTAAATTGACAATGTATGAAACATTAAGGTCTTTGGGTAATTTTATTTATGACAAAGTAAGGAATATTGAATATTTTATATCGTAAGGGTTCAATGCAAGAGGGATTCCATGTTTTAGTGGAGCCCTTAAGCTCAATTTTATCAAAATAGCCCATATTATAGCCAAGTACATTCACTTGTGTACTTAATTAATAACTAAGAAAAAGCTTAGTGTGTTTTTCTAGTAAGTGTTGAAGTAGCTGGAAACTTCTAGCAATGCCTTCTTTTTTCAGTATTTTATCAGGATTCTGAATAAGATGTTTGCCCAGATGCGAGTTCTTGGTTGTAGATTTGTTCAACCGGGATAAATAGAGTATTATTAAGTGATACAGTAGGAAGTCATAGGTCATGGAATAATTTTTATTAGATTTAACTTCTCTGAAATGAGTGTTCAGTTGTATATGGTTTGTTAATGTCAAGCTATATTATTTCTTACATTTTTTTTTTCTACATTTCTTTATACATTATTTGAATATCAACTCAAAATTTGTTTAGTTTTTTTTAATTGATATCTTGTACTAATCATTTTTTGAAAATCACTATTATCATTAATAAACTTGAGGTGCTTTGGTATTATGGGTTATTTGGATGGTACTTTATTAATAAATTGGAAAATAATTACATATTAAAAGAAGGATATATATATATATATATTTTAAGTTTAATCTGATATATTAATGTAATTGTATTACGACCAATTAGTTGCTTCAATTTACAATAAAGTATTAATACTTTACTTTAATGTTTGACATATTAATTTTAATAATATTATATAAGTAGATTTAGATTTTTTTTTAATTTATAAAGTCAGTTATATATAATTTATTATTTTAAGATTATTTCATGAAAGTGTTAATTAAATTAATTTTAATTGAGGAACATACTTTAAAAATGGCACAATTTATCCAAAATTTATAACTCATGGTCATATTTTATTTTGAATATGTACCTTCTACACCATATGGAATTGAATCCTTTAAAAATGTTTATTTTTTGAAATGTAGGTGTGTGTGGATTAATATATAAATTAAAAATATATTAATATAGAAAAATGAGTCACAATCAATTTTTTAGTTTGATCGAGGAATAATAAAGAATATAATAATATACCTCAAAAATTATTGTTATAATAATAATAAACATATTTTTATTATATTTTTTCAACTTTTATTTATATGCAGTTGTCAAGAAATATATATATATATATATATATATATATATATATAAAATTGTATTCTAAAAAAAAAAGGGCAGTAATAACCATTGCTTATAAGAGGATTCAGGTGCAAAAATGTATTATTTAAAGAATATATTAATGATTATTAATTTATTGGTTCCGGTTTGATACTAATACCTAACTTGACTTTTGAACGAGAAAATGATTTGTTTAATTTTGTTAGGAAGTTATTGAAGTCATCCATGACAATGACATTTTTTTTTAATTTGATAGATTTGTGCCCTTTTGAAAGTTAGTTTCAAAATTATTCTGAAAAAGAAAATTGAAGTGTTCAAACTGCGTGATGTAAATTGTGTCTCTATCATATATTTTTAAAAATCTGTCACTTATTTAAAAATTAGAATATTTTGATTGGCTAATATAATTCATAAAACATAGTTCTCAGTATCTTTATTTTGTGTAAAATTGTGATAATCTTAAATGTTTCCATTTAATTTAATTTATTTATGTATTATTTTTAATCATACCTACTGAATGTGTATATATTTTTAACCTGAAAAATGAGAGTAATATAAGTAAATATATACTTAAAATACAAAGTAAATTATGTACTTATAATATGAAATATTTTTTTACACATTACTGAGTGTTAAATTTGTATTCTTCATTTATTTTTAAGATTCCTTCCTTTTTCAGTATCATATAGCTAGTTAACCCATGTAAATAATTCACAAAGCATATTGGTCCCTAATCAATGTGGTAATATAATATGGAAATAAGTAAATGCAGTATATCATTGGAGGGAGTTGCAGTATATATTACTTCCACTTAGTTTATATGGAATATTTAGGTAATTATCAAAATTTCATCCTCTGTATTAATTTAAAATAATTAAGCATTTCACATTGTTAATACAAATCCAAAACGGTTAAGTATAAACTCTGAAAGAGATTTTAGTTCACCAAATCAGAAATAAAGGCTGGTAAGATGGTACCAAGAAACAATGACCAATAAAGATAATAGGGCAGTAAAACTAGGGAAAAACACTCAAAAGCCAAACATCCTCAAAAGAAAGATGAAACTTGTCAGAAATTGCACATTACCAGCCCTATAATGACTGGTGACAAGTCACACAGTTTCCTGTATCCGGTTTTGATGAGGGAGGAGATGGACAGAAAATCGATATATTTTTAGATAGAATCAAAAGTTCTGAGGTTTTTTGGAAAGTACAATATTTTAATTTACAGTTCAATATTAAAGTACCTCAAAATTTATTAAAATATTCCATTTTTTAAAAAAACAAAATCGATGGTTACGGAGATAGTTGATAGATTATATAGAATTTCCACTTTAAGCAAAAATATATTCAAACCATGTAATTGCTGTTCTCCATGGTAGATGATGCCATTTCGAAGTTGCCTTGTACGTTCAACATTTGTTTTAATTATATTGATTGTTGATTGTTCTAATTATAATTTAAAGTTACATTGTTTCGATGATTTTAACAAGTAAATGACAATAGAATAATTTTTAATATCATTCAATATAAGGAATTTCATGATGTTTAGATTGAAATTGATTTCATATAGTTGATAATAACTTATAGCAAACCTTAAAACGTATATAAAAATTACTATAAACCATGGTTTGATTTCACATTGAAAACCAGGAAATTTAAATTTTACATTTTTTTAAATCAACCACTTTTTTTTTTAATGGAAAATTAATTAAATTTCCAAATGCTTCCGTATTGTATATCAATGTAGGTTTCATTACCAACAGGACTTCAATAGCAATATTAGGTAACAGCTCTATATTGTAAATTAAGACTTTAAAAATAAATAAAAAATAAACACTCCAATTGCATTATTTATATGAAAACATGAATATTAGGACTAAGAACATTTTTTTGGCCATTTATTCAATAAAGATAAATTTCCATATAAGATATCAATGAAAAAAATGCTGCTTCATTATCACTTAAGATGATAAATTAAAAAAAAAACAGTATTATTTTACTTATATTTTTATAAATATAAAAAATACAAATACAAAGTGTATTTTCATTTTAAATAATTAATTGTAATACACCCCTGATTACAGGAAAAAATAAATTAAAGCTTTGTAATAATTTGTTTTAGTTTTTTTGCTGGCAGAATATCAAATCCCAAAATTTTTAGACAAATGAATCTCAACTTATTTGGTAACGAACCTCAATTTAATTAAAATGCACTTACAGCTCATCAAACATTTTCTATGAAGCAATCTTTAACAACCTAAATTAAATATTTATTTACTTATCATTTTCTATTTTAAAAAAGAAAAAGATCTTAACCTACAAACTCTATATAATTTTGTTTCCTAGCAACAATCAAAACAACAAACCATTCAACAGTAACCACTTGAAAAGTTAAATTGAGTTACTTTATGGTGGTTAGTTATTAGTTTGCAGTATTTAAAACTAAGAAAGTTTCCAACAATTGATTTTTTTGGTCATAAAGAATAAGAGAAGATGACAGATTTAATGGATCAATTGTATTCAGCTCATCAGATATTAATACCACCCAACCTTCCGTCAATATTAAAGAAATATGCCAAAGCTGCCATTCGTACTCAGCCTAGAGATCTGCTGCTTTGGTCCTACTATTATTTCAAAGCAGTCTCCAATGGTTTACCTCCACCAGTGAAAGAAAGAATTGAATACCCATTGCCGGTGACTGCTTCAGGATTGACCCCAGGTTTTCTTAAAGTCATTTATAATCAGGTAACCTGTTATGATTATGATTCTCTCTCTAATAAAATCACCTATTCAAAGTTAATACATATATTTTTTTTATGTTTTTAAAGATAGGAAACGTTAAAACAGTGTCAAAGGAAGTCATTGAAGAAAAATGGGAAAATATCTGTTTAGAGAAAGAGAAAGTTGAAATGCTTTTTAAAGTTGGAAGCTTTCCTCAAGAAGTAAATTGGATGAAATTTCTTGCGATCGCTGCTGGCTCTATTGAAAAAGTAATATGTCAAAAATATTTAGTTTTCCTAACCATTCTGATGAATGAATGTGTAAAAAAAAATATTTTTAATAAAATTGTGACCTCAGTACTCAAGTGTAACTATTTGAAAATAATTGTTTTGAATTGTATACATCTACATTACCTAATAACTTCAAAATGGTGTTTAATATTTCTAAGCCACATAGATTTGACCTATCATGGAAACTCCTAATGGTTCATTTACTGAAATTATTCCATAGATTAAAAATGTTTGAACAAGTAATATTTTACATCCTTCATAATTTTTACTTTTTTGGACCAAGGAGATCCAATTCATGTAAAATGTGTGACTAGGTTTGTTAACAAAGTAATTGTTTTAAATGAAAAAAATATAGGTTGTAACTTTTTGCAATTGAAATAAGACAACTTATAAATACATATACACTTATTTTTTTGGTTTATTGGATTTATTAGGATTTGACTGGAACGATGTCACTTCTTTGTGAATTGCTCACAGAAGAACCTGAAGGAGGTTCCTCAATGATTCCTGTCGAAACATTTTTCAATCTTTATAAATATCTGGCATCATTGAATTGTGGTCCTGAAGATCCACATCCCATATGCGTAGAATCGTCATCAGAAGAAATTTCTCAAATTGTTCAAACAGATATTCAGTATTCCAATCAAGGAGTTGATGGATCAGAGGATACTTGGGACACTTTGATACGTGAGTATGTTATATTTTGAGGTTTTTGTAATTATATTTCACTGATATCTATAAGTGGTTACAGATATTATGATATAATATTTATATACAATGGCATTGGAATGAAAGAATTTAACATCGAACTATTAAGAAAACCAGCTTTAATGATCATCATTGATTTAGATTAAAAAATCTTATCATAATTAAGTTTTGGCCATTGTGATATCTGATAATGCTACATGTTCTAACCATATATCATACAAACAATAACCTATACTGATATATAATACTGAAGAGCTTGTTTGTTTGAATAAGGTAATTTCTAAAACTACAAGTGGGATTAGAAAAATTCTTTTTATATTTGATAGAATAAATAGATAAAGGAAAGTTTTAAGCTTTATAGCACCATGCTACAAGTTGTAGGAATAGATCATAAATCAATCAGTCTGGAAATGATAATGAATGAATAATTTAGTTATCTTACAGTGTTGATAATAAACAAGATTTTCAGAGTGATGGTCATGATTAACTCAGAAACAGGGAAAAAGTAAAAAAAAAAAAAATTATTGATTGAAGATTTTTGAATGTTATGTTCATACCATTCAGATGTTAATTCTTCATTTTTTTTCTATTAATATATTCTCCACCACTGCATACTTTCATTTTGTTTTTCAATGGTTATCGTTTTCATTTTATCTTATTATTTGTAACAAAATCAGCTGTATAGTTCAGATCATTATAATTTAAATAGATGTTCTCGTCATTTTTCTTTGCCCCCTCTCTGAATACTTTCTGCTAAACAATTTTTTTTTCTGTTGTATATTTATGTATTAGAAATGTATATTTTTGAATTAATTAGTAGAATACATCACGACTTCATAAAATTAATTTTCTTTTAGGTGAAATGGGACAACAGGATTCTGAAGATACCATAGCAACTGATGATCTCAGAGAAGTTGACTCCAAAGCTGGACTGGTTGTTTGGCCAGATCTGTTCCCTGATGAACTGAACCTCAAACCACCAAAAGCTTCACCACGACCTTCAGAAGAGTTTGTGACATCTGATACTGGTCTGCAGGTCATTATATTAGAAAATACTTAAATATTTAATTTTAAATACTTATTTTCATTAGCAAATCATCGTGTGAGATGTTTAGGATTTTTATCCATTTACAAGTCAGTGATATATACCTGTAAATATATAAAACAACCATGAATGCATAGTCATTCATAAACACAACAAAACCAATATTTGTTTTTTTATATTACCTCTAAATTACAAATATAGAACTTGAAACTAATTAGAACATAATTTTATAACAATATTAAATGACATGTATCATAATTATTTGTGTCTTTCTTAAAAATGCAAATCAAAACATAGAAAACAAAATTTTATGACAAATTATTTCAATGATTACCTTATAGCTGTCAATTATAGTTTTTTTTAAATTTATTTCTTAATGACATTTACAACTGTATTAAATAAATACATCTAGCAAATTTGAACATAATGGATATAATGACATGAAAACACTTGCTGAGTAACTACCCAATGGTAGCACTCTAATGATATGTTTACATTAGGAGATCACGGGGCCATCTTCTTTTCAGACCCCTCGGAGGGTTATCAGGAATTGAAGAGGAAGCAAGGTTAGAAACGAGAGGGTTAGGATGATTCTGAAGTTTATTATGGAAGGATAGGTATCTGAATTGGGCCAGATCTGAAACAAAAGAAACATTAAGGTCATTATGGATGGTTTTATTTGTAACAAAGTAGGGAGCATTGAGGATTTTACGAAGGATTTTGGATTGTAAGGATTGGATATGAGAGGAATTCTATGGTTTAGTGGAGCCCCATAGCTGAACTCCGTAAGTCCAAATAGACCTTATTATAGTCAAGCATATGAGTCTTTTGTAGTTAATTGGAAGTTTAGAGCGTTTGTCTAGTAAGTGCTGAAGTAATCGGAAACGTCGAGCGGTTTCTTGTCGTTTAAGTCTAGTATGAATTATAGTTAAAATCAAATAAATGTAAGTTCATTTTTGTCAGGTATTATTGTTATAACAACTATTGCATAAGAATACCATTTGACCTTATTATTTTCTAAAATTATTAATCTTTGAATTATATTTATTTCTTTTAATCATTAATTTACTTTTATTGTATTATATTATTTTTGTTGTATTTAAAAATAATATTAATTTAAAATTACCTTAAATAATTAGTTTTCTGTCTTATATCTCAAATCTTCTTATGTCCACTGTTACTAGTGGTTCCATTATTTTCAATAGTTCACTGGAATTTTGTTGTGAAAATAATTCCAGCAAATGGTTCGACTTCTAAGTTTGTATGTACAATAAAAGTTAATTTAGTTATCCTTTTCTCTGATAACTTTAATTTACATTTAATGACCAAAATATTATTTCCATTTATTTTTTGTTTGTTTAATAATTCAAGTTTTGTTTGACTTCTTAAGGTTTGGGATGAAGAACAGTTTCAAAATAAAGTTGTTGAGAAGGTTGAAATAAGTGAAGCCTCGAAGGTAATAACTATTTAATGATACAGATTTAAAAAAATTAAAAATATATACTTATTTTTTTTAAGCACCCATCGAAACTAGATGAATTGCACAGCTAGTGGGGATTGAGGATCCTCTGGTATACTGTGCACGCACAAGGCCACCGACATTACACACCCAGGCTCACCTCTCCTAGGAAGCCTCATCAGATGTGGGAACAGGTCAGAGTGCCTTAAGAAGAACATCCCTCCACCTGAATAGGTGGCAGTACTGAATGAAAACCACTCCCCTTAAATTACTCTTATTAAAAAAGAAAAAAAATCTTACACTGCTTAAATGGTAAAGAGCAATTAGAGTATGATGATGATATTATTAAGCCTAAATGATTTTAATTGAAGGGTCGAGTGGATGAAGAAAATGAGTCATTTTTCCAGTTCTTGGAAAAATTAATTAATATAATGGTCTTTATATAGTATAAGTCAAGGATATATCGTCATTTAGCATCTTTATCAATTACATTCTGAACCAAATCTTGAGTTTAAATATTAATGGAAAAAGAAAATATTAAATATATAGCAATTTACGTACATAAGCATCTTTATTCTCAACAATAATTAAATTTTTAAATAACCAGAAGATAAATGGTTGATACTTGGCTCTTATGCTAGGTGATCCTCATTGATTAAATCGGCGGAACATAACTGACAATTAGATCAGATGTGTTTTTAAAATTGACATCACTGAATTTAAAAAAAAGTTGTTTAACATTTAACTGAAAGATAGATGAATTGGGTTTTCACTAAATTGAGCTCTAAGCAACCCTAGCAACACAATTAATGCTTTTAATCACCACCAATATATCGGAAATGCAGTAAAATGTCAAAATATTATTAACTGATATTTATATCATGCAGTATAAAAACTAATGATCCTAAATTTTATAAAATTTAGGGAAGGGATAAATGGTTAGGGTTTTTGCTAAGCTGGTCTATGCCTTACCCTAGTAGGTAATATAACATGTAGGTACATTATTAAAACTGAGGAGAACAAACTACAGTTGAAGAAAAGGCTGAAGATAATATATATCATTTCCAAGTTAATTTCAACCTTTTCCAAGTCAAATTCAACCTTTTCCAAATCAAATTAAACATTTTCCTAGTCAAATTCAACCTTTTCCATTTCAAATTAAACCTTTTCAATTTTGAAAATGACCTCCATTTTATGATTACGCCACTGTGTTTCCACTTATTTAAGTTTTTCGAATTTGTTCGATATAAGGGTGTATTCTTACGTTTCTGGGCTGCAAACTTTGAAAATTACCTCCATTTTAAGATTACGCCACCGTGTTTCGACCTATATAAGTGTTTCTGATTTATTCCATATAAGGGTGTATTCTTACGTTTCCGGAGCCGTCAATTTTAAAAATGACCTCTATTTTATGATTACGCCATTGTGTTTCGACTTTTATATTGGATAAATTCGAAAAACTTAAATGAGTCAAAACGCAATAGATTAATCATAAAATGGAGGTCATTTTCCAAATCTACGGCTCCAGAAACATAAATAATACATCCTTATATGAAAAAAATGTAAAAAACTTAAATAAGTCGTAACGCAGTGGTGTAGTCTCAAAATGAAGGTCATTTTCAATATCTATGGCTCCGGAAACATAAATAATACATCCTTATATCGAAAAATCCGAAAAACTTAAATAAGTCGAAACGCAGTGGCGTAATCTTAAAATGGAGGTAATTTTCAAAATTTACGGCTCCGGAAACATAAGAATACACCCTTATATCGAATAAATTCGAAAAACTTAAGTAGAAACACAGTAGCATAATCTTAAAATGGAGGTTATTTTCAAAAACTAGGAATAATACTAGACAGCATAATAATAAATCAGAATAGGTAGAATAAATCGATATCCGTAAGTGTAAAATCAAATCGATAGTATTTTGAAAACTCTACTTAGGATAGCACTAGCGGATTAAGGATTTAATTTTTTTTTTTTTGGGTGGAGAAGATTTCAGCCCGAAAGATTTTTTTTTTCAAATACATATAATGATAATTAATTCGAAAAAAAAGAAAGAAATTAACTACCTAGATGAAATGGTGTTTAAGTGATTCTTGAAGTTCTATTAAATGTAATTACAGGAACAATAATACTTTAAGAGATATTTTTAAATATTTTTTTATATAAAACATGGTTACATTTTACCATTTTGGGGGGAGACTTCAGCTGGAAAGCCCTTCCCTTCTCCCCCTCTCCACCCTCCCCTAGATCCCCTTGTGTAGGGAAGCATAATAATAGACCTTCATTTTGGAGCAGGAGGGGGGGGAGGAGGAGAGAGAATGGCCCTTAGTTAAAAAAAAAAATAAATAATTTACAAAAATTCGAACCTTTAATTTGAAATGGAATCGGTTGAATTTGAATTGGAAAAGGTTTAATTTGAAATGGAAATGGTTGAATTTGACTTGGAAAAAGTTTAATTTGATTTGGAAATATTATACTGAAAAAATCTAAAAAGTCAAAATAAATGAATATGTAACCACGTTATCATAATTTTTTTTTGTATTTTTCAAAAGCTATGCCTTCAATAATATATTAAGTGGCCTTCATTTAGAAAAAAATAGAAAATTGACAAAAATTAGAAAGTTGAATTTGAAATGGAAAAGTTTGAATTTGACTTGGAAAAGATTGAATTTGATTTAGAAAAGGTTGAAATTGACTTGGAAATCCTATAAAAACTGACAAACTTAAATTAAATTTTATAATATTTCATATATGTCTGATTAATAATTATTATAATTATGATATTTATCAACAAAATTTAACAAAGATGATGGAATTGGTTTAGTATAATATTGAATTATATTTTTTATTTAAATTTCAGTTTTCTTTTATGTATAGAGGCAGGTATATTTTGAGTCAAAAGAGTATAGGTTTTGGGTTTTCCACTTGTTTCTACTTTTGACATCATTGTTCCATAAAACCCCCTCCAATGTCCTCTGTTTATCTCATTTGAAACCGATTGTCAATCTGTTCCTGGATAATATGTCTCCTGATGGAATGGCTCTACCACTGTATAATGTAGGCGTAGGATGGAATAATTTTGATCATTATGGATTATGGGCAAGTTTGCTCTGCAGCTTATTGTAAACATGTAAATGGGTTTTGTTACGGAAGTGGAATTTTATGCAGTCATACACATGAAATCCACTATTTACTATGCAAGATTCATACAAGTATCTGAAAATTATTAATTTTTTCTAGTTTACTTTTCTTTGGATGCTATTTGCTATCTGAAAAATCAATATTTTCTTTAATTCTTACAGAAAATGTATTATAAATTCAGAAAATTTTGACAAAAATTGAGTATTTTTCAGTTAAATTAGAGAAATTTGATCTTTCATAAGAAAAAATACGATTTTCCTGGAAAACACTTTAAAACATTGTGACACAGCAAAGATTTGAGGTAGAAAAGTGCAGCTAGTGGTGCTGAACTGTATTTTCGGCAAACTATCTACCCCATAATACCTGACACAAAGAGTTGTGACAATATATTGATTTTTTTTTTCATTTAGGATGCCCAAGATGTTTCTGCAGGAAACATTTCTAATGAGGATGAAGGTGTACAAGTTAATCCTGATTCAGATTTTGGTGGGAAAATGCAAGCAACAACAGAGATCGGTAAGTTGTAGAAAATAAATAAAGTTTATAATGTTCGAAAGTTTTTGAAAGATGTCCATAATAAATGCCTAAACTCGTATGACATGATTTCAATTATATTATTTCATTAAAAAAAAAGAAGGTACTTGTACCACAATTTAATTAATTTCCAGTTGGTTTACAATTAAAATGGATCTATACTACAGTTTTATATATAGTTTAGATACTCACAAATTAATTAATTTCCAGTTGGGTTACAATTAAAATAGAAAAGTTTAAATTTATTTGGAAAAAGTTATAATTTACTTGGAAATGCTTTTATCGAACATTATATCTTTTATTGAAGAGAAGGATAGTTGGGGTGATCAGTCAAAAATAAATATTATTATTTATTTTTGCCATTTTTATTTTTTATTTTTGACTGATCACCCCCAACTATCCTTCTCTTCATTGTTCACTACAGTCAACCATCAACCCACAATTATATATATTTTACTATACAGTGTGTTTCTATATTGGTTAGTACAGCAAATTCTGCAGAGTTTGTATTTGTATTATTATCATTAGTTAAAAAAAAAGTTTTATTTATTATTCTTCATGTATTGCTCTTTTGTTTGGAACCAGATAAAGACATGAATGAGAGCGAAGTAGAAGGTTTAGAACAAAAAACTGATACAGAAGTAAATTTCCAAACTCCCAGTGAAAGTTCTCTAAAAGATCTACCTAAATGTGTAAGAGATGATCAGAAGGCCGGAACTGAGAATAAAAAAGATATTAATCTAGAATTTATCATGGAACCGGACACATCCATGATCTTGGTTCCGACCCCTATTGTGTCAAGAGAATCCCTTTGTAGTGATCAGAGGTAACAATAGACCATTAAATGTATACATTTTAGAAATGGCTAAATAGTTGACTGATTAATTATATGGATGAAACAAAATTTTCAAGACTTTCAGTGAAGATATTTTTATTGGCTTAGCTGTTGTTTTGACCCAAATATAGTTATCCTCAGCGCTATCGTTTAGAATAGCCTGAGTCCTGAGGATAACCCACATGTTTGGGTCGGAACGTCGGCTAATCCAATAAAAATATATTGACTGAAAGTCCTGAAAATTTTGTTTCATAAATGTACATTGTTATATTTATATATTATGATGATTTATATAATATTTATGACTTGCCCCATATATAATCAAATACAGGTCTGAATTATATGCAATTACATAACGACAGCCATGCTGCGAAAGCCTGTAAGTACAATTTTGTTAGATAGTGCAATTTTGAACTTTTCTTGTAAATCTTGGCCTCGCATTTATTCAGAAATCCGAATCAAAAATATTATACATAACATTACATTTTTGTAAAGATCTGCAGTAAAAATTGAATGAAGAATATAATTTAAAAAATAAGCACATGGTTTATTTAGTGTTATGAATAGAGACCTGATTTCCATGTTATTGCACTTTTTATTCGCTTGTGTATAAAAACTCCGTACCCAGATATCTATCTGTTTCAGGACCTGTAGAATAACATATTTAAATTTTAAATTGCACATTTTGCCTTTTTGGATTAAATTGCACGATTTTGATTTTTTTTGCATTAAATTGCACATTTTTGCAATTTTGTTGCATTAAATTGCATATTTTTGCAATTTTGTGCTAAATTAGACGATTTACAAATATAAATGTATAAGTGAAAGTGTTAACATTTATTTTACTATATTGTCCAAATTAAATTCATTACTCCAAATTGAAAAATATGAGGAAAGCAAATAATCTAATTCGTTCCAAATAGAAGAAATAAACACAAGTGAAGTCTATTCTTGGAATAGAACTAGCCTAAAGTATTGGATAATAAAAAGCTGCTTCCCTAGAATTAGCTGCTTTGTTAGTAAGGCATTTATAGTTATTGTTTTGACTTGAATTCTCACTTACTGAAGGATTGAACGGTAAAACCCTTCAGTATCTGTTCTGGCTTTGAATTGATTTGTAGAAATTTCATTTAAAAAGAAAATTGTTAATGCTGAAAGTAAAATCTAGTCTCCCGTAGCTTGGGGTAGCTCAGTGGTAAGGTACTGGGCTCCAATGCTAAAGGTCCCAGGTTCAAAACCCAGCTGATAGCAGAAAATTTATTTATTCTGTTTCATTGGCCATGGGGCGAACCTGCCTGGATAGACACTCCTGTGGCACACCCAGCCTCTATAAAGTGATTACTCTTAATTAAAAATAATTGATTAAGGAGAAAAACCTGGCGGTTGAGTGTGATCACGGTCAAATCACTTCCTTTCACAACCGTAGACCAAGAAACAGTGATTTCCCTAAATATTACTGCACTTATTTTTAATAAAAGTTAAATATCTTAAACTGGTTTCGTCTATATAGTATATAGGTACATATAATTCCTTCAAACCTTTAATGTTCTGCATTATTTGATAATAATCATTGTTATAATCTGGAATTCCATTTGCAATGTTACATTTAATTTCTTTTATTTTTTTTTTTTATCTCTCGGTTAACTCAAGATCTGATAATATTTCGATGTATTAATGTTATAAATTAAACAATATTGATGATTTTACATACTTCTAGGTGTTAATCACACAATTGTACGTAATTTGGATTTTTACTGCACGTTTTTGTACATTTTGAGTTTTTTACTCCACGTTTTCTGGATTTTTACTGCATGAAAATCCAGTCTCTAGTTATGAATATTTTTAGTTTTTGTACTTACAGGCTTTTGTAGTGTGACTGTCGGATATTTTTAGTGCCATTTATTTAACAAGTAATTTTTGAAAGTGAAAAATCACTGTAATTTTTATATTTTTGTGATGATTTGACTATAAAAATTGTTTAGGATATTTTTGAGAATAAAAAACATATTTATTTATGAAAAAAGTAATATTAAAAAAAAAACAGAATTCTTAAAATAATGAATGAGGATGAAAAAACGATTTGGATCCCTTCCCCGAATCTATTGCAGATACTGAACACTGTCTTCCAGATGAAGATGGTTTGTTGCTGTCACCATTCTAGGAATTGAAGGCCAAAGCTAAATCCTCTTGTTCCAAAAGAGACAGGTCTACAAAATTTGTATATTAATACTTTTATTAGTTAATGTATTTTGATTTCTATAGTTATAATAAATACAATTGTACATTGTACGTTTGGAAACAGGAATAACAACTATCGAAGTAGAAGTTGTCAAAAGAATGTAGAGATGGTGGATAACTCTACTAAAAATACCTGAAGATAGAATCCCACGGATTCGCTACAATAGATTGAAAGAATTGGACAATAATCGCAATATGGTTTATAATTGGTACTCTCAGCTAAAAGGAAAATTATTAAAAGTAGATTCAGATTCAATTTGGCAAAAAAATAATGACTCTAATCCTGAAATTGCTCAACTATACCTCAAAGACATTATAAATAGATTTGAAAATCACTCCATTTGCAACGATATAAATTCAGTCATCAATTCAAAATATAATTCAGAATACATGAGTAGTCTAAGCCAGGGAAAAGAATATTTAAACATAAGAACAAACATAACCGAACATAGAACAGTCAGCCAACTTAGGGTAGCCAATTTAACGAAACCTTCATTTTATCTTAATGGAACGCCCTATAAACTAGAAGGAGAAGAAAACTGTACAATATGCAACCTCCAAAAGTCAGAAAATTTACATCATTTTTTAATAGAACGCGCGATGTATAAAGATTTGAGAGACTATTACATAGATAAATATATTACAGAAGACAACAGTTCAATGCTCGGTAATTTGTTAGCGATAGAAAACCTCTCGAAGTTAAATGATATATTTTATTTTACAGTAGGGAGCCTTAAAATGAGATCATTCATTATGAATGATTAAATGCCAGCAATATTTATATCTATGTTTATGTTTACCACAAGACATTGTTATCTTCGACTAAGAAGTTGAAATGTATTGTTACAATCTGCTACATTGTATTGTAGGAATATCTCATTGCTATTTTTAATATTCCTTTAATGTATATTTATTTGATTTTTTTTTTATGTATCTTCAAAGTCAATACTTTTTATTTATATTATTATACAGTAGTTTTTCCCTTTTCTTTTTTTTTTCTTTTTTTTTTTTATGTCACAATTTACATATCTACTTTATCTTATTTATGAAAAAAGAATATTTCTCCGATTTATTTCTATATTTGTATATTACTTTATTTTGATTTTTTAAAATGTATTTGATGGAACCAGCCAGACCTCCTGTAATTGTATATTGTAACATCTCTATTATATTTTACAAATAATAATATAAACTCAGAAGTTCACTTCTTACCATTGGGATACTTTCTAAATAAATAAGAAGTTGTTTAATAATAAACAAAATTATGATAGTATTAATATATTTATTTATCTCAGGTGTGGGTTACTGACAATCAGATCAACTAGGACAAACTATTATTATTTATACTAAAATTAAACAATAATTTTAAAATAAATAAAGTCAAGTATGAATTGGCAAGCTAACCTGTTTTTACTTTCACTTACGTATATATATAATATGTAGTAAGAGTAAGTATTGCGATCGAGAAAATTTTTGAATCTGAGTTTTTGACGGATTTATACGTTTTGAGGTACCCTGAGTCGAAATGACCAAGTCCTGAAAAATGGTCTGTGGGTCTGTGTGTTTGTATGTTAGCAGTCTAGCTCAAAAACGAAAAGTCCTATGAAACTGATATCACGTATTTAAGATAGGTATATGCCTTAGTTGTGACGGCAACTTTTTCCTTAAAATCGGCTAACCGGAAGTGCCACTTTATATCAACGCTGAAACACATTTTCACAATTTTTTTAATCGGCTCTAACGATTTTGATTAAACTCAGTATATCATTGTATAATTAAGTGGTCTTTAATATCAATTAGGTCTTATTCCCATTGATGTCACTTCACAGGGCTTAAATGCCCAATGTTCATATATGTCTTCCTGTAAAGTACCTTTAATATGGTTTATTTTTAAAAGTTAATTATTTCACATTATTCAGAGTTACGAAAAAATGCTAAATATAACTTTTGAAAGAATTTGATAAGTTAATAAAGGAGAAAAAAAAATAAAAATGCAGAAAAACCTGTGTAGCTATAGACTGTAGCGCCTAAACGAATGTACCGATTTCATTGAAACTTCGCTAAAGTCATTTTCTCGACACCCTTCAAATTTATCTATATAACATACTTCAGCGAAAAGAAGCTGGAAAAAAAGTTACGAGGGATGGTAAAATTAAATTCCGAATAACTCAATAGAAAGTATACACTTTTTTGGGAATGTCGTGTTAAGATGTTTCAAAGGTATTTAAATACCCTAAAAAAAAAAAAAAAAATTGTTAAAATCGGACAATTAGTAGATAAGATGTGGCCTCTAGTTTTTTAAATATGTTCTGCTGTGAAGGTTATATCCTTTGTTTTTGTTTTTGAATTTTGAATGTGTTAATTAGGTAATGCTAACTTTTTTAGCATATTACTAATGATTATAAAGAAAAGTTTAGTCCATTAATTGGAATCACCTTTTATTGTCTACATTCAAGGAATTGCTGTGTTATATATGTGTGCGATGTTGTATTGCGTTCCTGGCGTTTGAGAATTTAAAGAGAAAAAAAGAATTTTTTTTTTTATCTTGGGAAAGTGTTTATTATGCTATGTCTATTGTTTAATATGGTTTATTGTTGATAATTTGTAAGAGTATTGTTATGAAGAGGGAGAAAAAAGAAAAGAAAAATATAATATAAAATTAATGTCCGAATGGATTGATAAGTATGCTATGTACGAAGCAACCCTATGTAGTAGGGCAGCATTACTTTTAATAAAGTATTTCTCTCTAAATAATTAGGTATTAAAGTTTATTCCAAAATATTGTCATATAGCTTTTTAGAAAACTAAATTAGTAAATAATTCGATAGATCTCCCCTTTGTGATATTCCACTACTATTTCATTGTACTTGTGTGAAAGAAGAAGTGAAATATAAAAATATTTCATAGATACGTTTATAACCCTAAATATATTTACTGTAGTTTAATAACTCTAGATCTCATAATATATTGAAATATTTTGATATCTATCGTCCGTTTATTCCGAAAAATCATCATGTAACCTTTTAGAAAATTACATTAGTGAATAATTTGATAATTTTTCTCTTTGTGATATTCCAACAGAATCCACTTACAATTAGTGTGACAACTTTTGACCTGTCTATGACAGACAATGCAAATCTCTTAATTCCGTTTTAATAAACTTTGCAATTGAAAATAACAGTTTAATAACTAATAGTCGTACAATCCATAATCAATGGATCGAACAATCCATAATCAACGAATCGTACAATCCATAATCAACCATTGATATAATAAATAGGACTTTTGTTATTTAATAGTGTTTATGATTTGTTAGCTTTAGCTCAGTTTAAAATGCAATTTAAAACATTTTATAATAGCCCGACATAGCCAGAAAATAATTTTTATTCAAAGTTCAAAGAGTAAGTGAAAGTAGTGTGTTGTGCGCATCAGATTTTTCTATATACAGTGTTTCTTCCTTTTGTTGCACTAAATTCATTTGTCTTCAAATGCTTTCCAATGTTCTGCCAAACACAACTTCCAAAATAGTAATACTATTACTGGGTTTTACCCTCTGGAGCCAGGTTCACTTCTCCCATCCTCTCTTCACTCCAGCCAAACACCAACTGCTTGCCAAAACAAAAAGCTTTGTCCCTCTCCTCTTTGAGATTTTCCTTTTTGGGGAAACTACAGAGAAGCCATTTTCTTTTCTCTGCACTTGTAGAACTGTATTAGTTTGTTTTTTAATTGTTCAACATTAATTTATTAAATCATTTTTACTCACTTCCAATAAAGGTGTACATTACAATATATTAATTACAAAATACAGAATTTTCATTCATTCATTCATAATAAATGAAATTTGTACAATATTTTTGTGTCTTTGCCGTACAATTACTTTCTCTCCTGTTTTCATTTTTTTTAAATAAACTTTCAAATTGTCATTTCCAAGAACCCAGCTTTCCATTTTTTTCTATTAATTTCTATATAATAGTAATATTTTAATATATAGAAGTAATACAAACTTACTTAATAGTCAACCAACTTATTTTCTCCAATCTCAAAATGTTTTAGTATGTTTCATTTTACCATAACCAACTAATGCCTCTCTTAAGAGACAGATAATTTTTTTTTATGTTACTTTTCTCATAAATAAATATGTTTTACATTACAATCAAATATTCTTTTGTTGTAGCATGCAGAAAAATATTTAGATTTATTGAGAAGTCCAGCTTTCAATTAGGAAATCAACAATGTGAAGACACTGTTGGCCAACAGTAGGAGTTACTCAATTTACCCGTGAAGTTATTCAATCGACTGCTGAAAATATTTTGGGTGACTCAGAAGATCAACAGTTTCAGGGATGATTTGACACAGGCTCTGTGAATGTGACTAAGATGAAAAACCTTGCCTATAAAATAATGATGTAAAGAAGATTAAGACCTGGAAGAATACCGCACTAAGAGGAGAGAAGAAAAGCGACTCTATCCTAAGAAAAAACGAAAATTTATAAATGGGTAACTTAGAGAGGCTGAACTTGTAAGAGGCACTTCTGAAAGCAGAAAGTTCTTTCAGAAAACAAATTAGAGGTGAAAGCCTTCAAGCTCAGAAACACAACACACAGAAACAATTAGCCCAATTGTTTTTAATTGCCATAGGCTATTTATATTTCGCGAATAAAAAAATTAGTTTTCCACCACAACTGTTACTAATTTATTTGTCAAAGATTAATTGCAAATGACAGCTGTTAGTTATTTGCATTTTTTCGCAAACAATTTGATTACAACTGGCTGTATGGTTAAAACTGTAGGTGGATAAATGATTATCTGACTAATGTCCAACTCTGCTTACATGGCATTATCATTAGGGCTCAGATTTGTAGGATTTATGATTTTTTTTTTTTTCTGTTCAAAGAAAAACAAAATTCTGAATTATTCCAGAAAACGATACACCTGTGTTTTGAGTCTGGAAAAGTTATCAATTTCCTACTTTGATTAACAGAAAGATTGGCTGTTTACCTGATGGGTTTCATTTGATTGGATTTTTATTTTCCGAAACACTTAAGCTCCCTACAACGCTGAACTTCATCCCTCTGTTCATTTTTGTCTTTTGTGAAATAGTGTTTGGTATTCTTTTATTGAGCAAAGGTAATTAGTGTTATGTAATTCAAATATTACATAATACAAACGGCTTATAAAATAAATTAAATTTTATATGGGGGAGATGACTTCATTGCCCAGAGGCGCCGATTTTTAAGTACTGCTTTGTACTTTAATACAAACAAGACATTAAACAACGAATAATTTCAAAAGTCCGAATATTTACACAAACAATTTTTCATTTATTGGCGAAATATCTGAATATTGTACCCGAAAGTAATTGCCTGGGGTGCTCTGATCCCTTGGAAACTATGGAATTTGCTATGCAACTATGAATGTGTTATGAAATTCAACAATTATTTGGGATCTTTCGCTGCTGATGGAATCCATCGATGAAATAATGCTGGTTTTATGAGCTCACCCTTTTTGTTATTAAGATCTGTTTTGTTATTTCCGGTTCTTAAAATTTTAATTTTTGTAAATATATAAAGTAAATGTTCATTCTTAGTTACAACATGATTATTTATGTTTTTCGTGTTGAAAATATTTATACTCTATTAATATTATTTTAATATTCTGTATACTATTTTTAATAAGTGGTTTAAGATCTTTTATAGATCTGAAAATTAATTTTTAGTATCTCTTCCATGGAAAATTTAGATCTTCAGAACCCAGGGTCCTTATTATCATTCTGACCCTCTCATTTTAACGCTCACTGTATTGCCATGGCAGTGTAAATTTTGTGCAACATTTGAAATTCAATTATAAGGGACATATATATTTTGATATTAATTAAGTGAATATTCTGTCACATTAGCAATAAATCAATAAAAATTATTTAGGGATTATAATAGTATAATGTTATGAATTTATAAGAAGATTGAAATTTTCTTTTAGATCCATAAAAAATATTACTGAATCCGAAAATGAACCTTCAATAGGAGAGAAATTGATAACAACAGCTTCATTGAAGGATTTGAAGATAGGATCGAGGAAAATAAAAAGGGAAGAACCTCCACCTCCTTGGGCAGCAGGTGATGTTTTTTGGATATATTTGCCTGGGATTGGACCCCCGGTTCCCCAGCATGTTATTGACGAGGTACAATTATAATATTTTTAAGTTTTATTTCTATTTATCTTTATTTGTTTTATCTACACCATGGGATAATATATTGATTACAACATTAATATTGGAGAAACTCACCGTGATAATGACACCGGTAGTGGTGGGGGAAACTATTCCGCCATGTAAACCTTGTGGTTCCCTTGCCAACCTCTGACGGCTGCCAAGAGGTTAATTTACCATAATAATTCCCAGATTATAGCTAGAAATTAAAGATTTTTAATTATTTTGGGTGAAAACACAGTAACTCCAGGATGACAGAATTTCAAATTAAATAATATTCTTACACGATTAGAAGGGAATCTCTAATATCCTCTAGACCGGGCAACACTCCAACACGCTCGGCCACCACAACCTCAGGTTAAACACCATTTCATATAGGCAGTTAGTTTCTTTCTTTCTTCTGAAGTAATAATCCTAGTATATACACCCAAAAAAAGAAATTTCGGGCTGAAGCCCCCCAAAATTAAATTCTGGATTCGTTAGTAGTGAGCTGAAAATGTTGATGAAAATATTTATATTTTAGCAGTAATTAATATTTAATATTTGGAAATATTCTTGAGCTACCCTGTAAAATATGTGTCCTGGAAATATTTATCCATAAAAGCTTGTGATATGTAATAAACAAAATGAATATGCTGAGATTGATAAAATATCCTTTTATATAAGTAGATGTTACCATTTATGTATAAAAGTAATGCATTAAAAAATGAAGAAAGAAAGAATAAAATATTGAATTGTGGAATTAGGTAATATATTAATGTGATTATCAGTTTATCTTTATTATGATTAATTTTTTAAAAACTTTGAAGTAAATATAAATATATGTATATTTATCCCTAACTATTAATACGTAAAAGTTATACATTACACAATAAATAAAGAAAGAAAAAAAATATTGAATTGTGGAATTAAGTAATATATTAATGTGATTATCAGTTTATCTTTATTATAATTTTTTTTTTTTAAGGTTGAAGTATATTTAAGACAGTGTGCATCAAAACAATGTGGAATGGTAATGCCAAGGAACTTGAGACATTTTCTTTGTCCTAGCCTTGATGGTCTGTAAGTTGATTTAACTGTTAAATGTGAATACTTCTCCTAAGCGGAATTATAAAGAAATTTAGCTTCTTATTAGTAGAACCATTTAAACTAAAAAAAAAAATGTACCACTAACAACCTATGAATGGTTTAAACTAATTAACATAAAAAATGGCAAATATGAAATAATAACCTTTAGGTAATTTTGTAGCATTAGTAGTGTCAATGTAGAAATGATCTTTGTTATTAGAAAATAATAATGTTAGAAATATAGTAGATTTCTAAAACATGCATTGTAATTTTAATAACAAGTTCTGTAATAGAATAGGTGGTACTCCAAATTACTGCCTCCTGATCTTCCTTTCCAGTAATACCCAAACCTGTATTCACTTATTAAGTTTGAATTTGTATTAAATTTTTTTTAAACTGTTTCTGATTCATTACCTCTTATATTGAACTACTGTTTTTGAAAACTTATAATATTACCATTTTCATTGTTCCTGATATTTCTCCTACATTCTGTCTCTCAGGATATTTTTTTTTTTTAGTTCCTTGATATCTTTCTATTTATTTTTTTTTACTTTTATTCATCAATATCTATTGTTATGGATTGTCACTCTTTGGTCTTATAAAAATCAAAATAAACTTGATGACATTTTAAGTTAATAACAACAGATAACATTATTGTTCTATTTTTTTTATTTATCATTGAAACATCAATCAATCTGTCTATGTTTTTGTTTTTATTTTGATTTAATTTAGACATTGATATTTTATGAAGAGGGCAATAGTGACACCTTCCACTCAAAATTTCACAGTAATTTACTTGAAAATAACTCTTTAAAAATTCAATAAAAGGTGAAGGTAATAATTTTATTATATTGCAGGTAACGAATGAGCTAATGACTGAACTCTTCCTTTATTTATGGAGCTTTATCCCCCTCTCTCCTTACATGCATTAAATACTGTTATCATGTAACACTTTTCTTCTCCTCACATTATCCAAATATTTCATAAGCGTTGGCGCCTCAGCTTTTTTATAATTTTACTGTTTTATATTAAAAAAGTGTATATTGTACAACGTGAAGCAAAATTTTTGTAATTAATGTGCAATGCAAGGAAAATGAACTCATTCTCTTAAATTTAATAATATTCTAATTATGTTCCATTTTTATTAAAGAAATAATATTAAAAATATTCACCTCAATTGTGATACTTTGAAATTCTATACAATACTTTCCTGTTGCAGTTTTTTTATAATTTTATTGATATGAATTTATTTGTTGTCAGTAATTGTTTAAATTAAATTAAATTTTAGTTTTTACCTGATTATTAATTTCAAACGAAACATTTACATAGAGTTACTTTGGCTTAGCCTTACTAAACCATGGTTACTTTCCATTCAATTTAATTTTTGTCTACAATTTTTATTTTCCAACCACCCTGATTTAATTTTTTTAATTTAAAATTAAAATATGTTGATATAGACAGAAAGATGTTCAAATAAAACATTCAAATTCTTATTCACTTATGGTATTTTCAATTATCTTCCCCTACCAAAAATACATAAAATGGAATTAATTTTTATTTTTTAGAGTCGAAGAAATTTATTTAGAAAACAAGGAACCCGAATGCATTGAATGTTCTTTTCAGTCCATCAATGAAGATGTAAACAAAGTGATCAAGCTGCCAGACTCAGCAACCGACCACTTTTATTTCTGAATAAAAAAATGTTTATTGTAATATACACCTTAATTGGAAGTTGGTAAATATGTTGTAATAAATTAATGTTGAACAGTTAAAAGGCAAGCTAATCTAGTTTCACTAATTCAGGAAAAAGAAAATGACTGCTCTGTAAGTTCCCCAGAAAGGAAAATCCCAAAGAGAAAATGGGAGAAGGGATCCTAGCTCCAGTAGGTTAAACCCAATAACAGTATTACCATCTTGTAAGTTGTTGTTTGGAATTACAAGAGATAGGATCTCCCTGGGAGTTTCAGTTGAGTAGAAGAAAGTGTTACCATTTTGGAAGATGTGTTTGGCAGAAAATAGGGAAATGTTAGAAGACAAATGAATTTAGTGCAACAAAGGAAGGAACAGTATATATAGAAAAAAGATTAGCTTGCCAATCCATACTTGACTTTATTTTAAAATCCGTGTTTAATTTTAGTGTAAATAATGAGTTTGTCTGAGTGTTTAGATCTGATAGTCAGTAACCCGTACCTGAGATAATATAATTATTAATTTCAATTTATTATATTCATACTCTTATAATTTTGTTTATTATTTAATAACCTCTTATTTATTTAAGAAGTATCCCAACAGTATAAAGTGATCTTCCACAAGGTGATATTACTAGTTAAAAAATATAAGAGAGATATTACATTATAAATAAAAAATAAACTTTATTTTGGGACAAGGTTCCTTATGAATAGCAATAATGAACATAAAAATTACATTAATCAACATTAAAGAATGTATACAGTATCATCAGCGAAAGTATATTAAAACAAATAAAAAGTAACACCATTTTGAAAAAAACAAATATTATTTAAATGAAAAGAAAAACAGAAATCAGGTAAAAAATTAATAAAATAATATAAGCATGGGTTGATTTTTAGAATTAAAACTCAAACAATTTCAACAACCATTCACCTCAGTCAAAATCTGTTTCACAATATTTATTTCATTGTACATCACGGGGGGAGGGTGAACTTTCTGGCTGAAGTCCCCCCAAAATGGTAAACTATAACCATAAAAATATTTAAAAAGTATCTCTTAAAGTATTATTGTTCGTGTAATTACATTTAAAAGGGCTTTAGGAATCACTCAAACACCATTTCAAATTATCGTTATTTTTATGAAAAAAAAAACTTTCGGGCTGAAGCCCCCCCCCAAAAAAATAAATTCTGGATCCGCTAGTGTTGTACATCATTTTGGGATGTGAGAAGGAATTGGTAGAGATGATATTTAAGTGAGTACAAGGAAGATGCACGGCAGATATCAGATGGCAAGGAATTCCAAAAGGCAGTGGATTGGGCAATAATGAAATATTCAAATGTCTTAGTTCTATGGGAAGGAATATCAAGGTCAGAAACACGGGATCTTGTTTGACAACTGGTTTGAACTGTAGGAGACTGTAGATGTAGGAAGGGTGTCGGGTGTTTATCGTTTGGAATAGGAAAAATCCAAGGAAATATTGTCTGCGGAAAGAAGGATTTAAGGTATTAACACAGTTAACATTTTTTGGTCCATATCGTGTTACAGCCTGGATGCAAGACGCACTTGCATCTTGGGAACCAGCCGACTGGAGATTTTAGCGTGCATTTTTGTAATGCTGGTCTTGCATACTCGCCCCTTCTACCTCGGCTAGAAATATTTTTGAGGAGCAATCATCGGGTACCAGCAACGCTTGGTCTACTCCCTCCCTTCTCAATTTTCTCTAAGCTCTTGTGATTGGCGTGGCCTAGAATTTCCCTGGCATATTCTCTGCGTGTCGTAAGAGGCGACTAAAAGAGAACCCTTCCCCTTTTTTTCTCTAGGAAGAGGGATCCCCCCGTAACCTGAATGGGGCGACAAGAAAGCCCGTCTCAGGTCAATAGGGGCTGCCATCAGACCCTGAAGCAAGAGAGGAGCCTTGCTTGCAGCTCAAAGAAGGATTAAGTTCAGCAAGACTGGTCCTCCATGTTGGGGGCTGTGCGGTGGACTGGTAGCCCTTCCACGAAAAACAATGAACACTACGAATCCTGAAAAGAAAAAAGCCGGACTGATTTCATGGAAACGACTTAACGCCTGTATAACTGATTTTCGACTCGAAACTTGGAACGTTTTGTCATTATATCGACCTAGAGCACTTAACCCAACTTGACAACTTCGAGTTAGACATTGCTGCGATCCAGGAGGTAAGGTGGACGGAGACTGGAATCCTAAAGAAGAGTGGCCACACCATATACTACAGCTGCCATAAAAGGTTGCACCATCTTGGCACTGACTTCGTGGTTGGCAGAATAGCTTCCGAGTTAATAATTGGTTTTGAGTCAATCGACCCCAGAATCTGCTACCTGCGCATGAAAGGCAAATCCTACAATTACAGCTGATGAGCGCTAGGCACACTAAAACAACACAATTAAACTTTTAAACAAAATATCACTAATAAAATTTGAGTGGTGGCCGAGAAGAACTACCCGTTCTTCAAGAACTTTATTTACGGGTAGAAAACCGCAGTTGGGTATGCTCATTTTCATATTCCAGAAAGAGGACCATTTTCTGGACGACCGCCGGACAGAGGAGGTGAAGAAGAAGAAGATGGAGGGCACCTGGAAGATAAAAGAAGATGACGCCGATTTAACATGACCGCTGGAAGTTAATTGGCAACATTTGCCCACCCCGCAAAGTTCCTGACACCCGTTTTGCCCAAGGGCAAGGAAGGGAAAATAAATAAATAATAAAATAAGAGTCTGTTAAGATGAAACCTATCACTGAACATGAAACCAAAACTATCACTTTAAACACTAAAACCTATAACTATTCAATAAAAACTACTAGACCTATCACTTAAACAACAAAATTAACCTTCTAAACTAAAATACTGCTGATAAAATATGAAAATTTAACAGTTTTGAGGTGCCTATAGAGCAAGCAGATAGCAAGAGATGATCCAAGATAGCCAACCAATCAAAAGTTGACACCATATGGCCACACTGTAAAGTGAACTATTACTGTCGTTATCTACTGTGTTACAGATAGTACTAAATATGTGAGATCCTCAGCTCCAATTTTAATATATTTTCAGTATTAACAATCTGTATATTTGGTTTCTGATTGATTTTATGTAATAAAATCTACTCATATAGAATTTATTACTTATTAACTATTTTTGGTGGGTATTTAAAAATTAAAAGGAACTAAACATTTCTGTCATCCTATGAAATGTTATTGAATGATCAAAAGTAGTCTGATCACGACTTATGAAATGAAAAAGACAATAACAACAATGCTAGTAATTAGTTGTTTCTAGTTAGAAGAATGATATGAAGCTCATACTATTCTAAGTTAAACTGAAACTAGAGACCTATTGAACTAGGAAGAAAGAGAGAAGTTTCAATCTTCTGAAGTAGCTAGTTCATCGAACTAGAGAACTAAATTAGTTATTTTAGGTCTCTAGTTTATCGAACTAGAGAACTACATTAGTTCTTTTAGGTCATGGGATTTCTAAGTGAACTGTGAACTAGCTAGTTTAAACGAACTACAACTCGCGCCGTCTATTGTGACATACAGTACTAGATCAGTGAGATTATCTACTCCAATTTAAATATATTTTAAGTAATAACATTTTCTGTCTTTATCCTTTGAAATATTAATATGTTTCAAAAATAGTCTGTGCATGGATCCTACGAATTGTAGCTGCCAATGGTCAAGGACCACAGAAGGATCTATGGGGGAGGCTTTCGGGCTGAAGTCCCTTTTCCCCAAAATGGTAAAATATAACCATGTTTTATGAATAAAATATTTTTAAAAAGTATTATTGTTCGTTTAATTACTTTTAACTGGACCTCAAGAATCAATTAACTCATTATAAAGTTTTTATTAGTGTCGACGCAATACTTGAATACCTTCAGTGCTCGAAACACGCCCTGATGATGATCCACTTGTTTGGGTTGAAACGTCGGCACTAATAAAAACTTTTTAATGACTGCCTCATGAATATTTATCACTCATGATATGTAGAAGAGTCGACTAACTTCCTCCAATAAACCATTTCATATAGGTAGTTAGTTTCTTTCTTTTTCTTTCAAAGTAATTATCATTATATATATATATATATAATATATATATATATATATATATATATATATATATATATAAAATATTTTGGGCTGAAGATCAGAAAAATTATCTTGGTTTTAATCTATAATAATCAACAACTAAACTCTTACAAAATAAATATTTTGTTTTTACAAATTATTTATCGCTAAATCAGTATATTATTATTTAATTATAATAATACAAAGATATTTCACACAATGTAAACTTAAGATTGAAAAAAAAAAGTTGTATACAATAAATTTTAATTGATGGATGACATATATTATGGGCTTTTTACATTTTGAATCCTATAAAAAATGTATGATTCTATTATGATTATTTTCTGGGGAGATCAAGTCACATTTAATTAGCATTAAAACAAAACGAGCTTTTTAAAAGTTTGCTTATACTAACGTGTAAAGTACAAGGAAATGAAAGGATAAAATATATTACCAGAAGAATAACTGTACAATATGAAATAAAATGAAAAGAAGTTATCTCAAAGCTGGGAATTATCTATTGTTCTGACACAAATAACTTCTTAAACAAATAAATTCTTCTTGGTGTGATAAGTAAGGTCTACTCCACAATACTTGAGGAAAATATTTTATCCGGTCTTAGAAATAAATCAGTATGTATTCAAGACAATTAGAATTATTCAGAATTTTATATATACTATGTGGCAGATCTGCAAAACGTTATAGAAAAAGGCAAAGTTCTCACAAGTAATGTTAACACATATCTTTCCACATGACGAAAATTCGTGCTTTCGTAAACTATCATCAATAGCCAAATGACAAAAATTAGTCATTTGTATATTACATAAAATAATTCTTGTCCTTCTACATCCAAATAAATTAAATCATATTACATAGCAAACAGAGATAAAGAGATGCCGGCAAAAAGGCATTTTTGTGAATGGCGGTGCAAAAAATTACCGAACGAATATGTTTTTACTAGTCCAAAGCATTCAACAGAATTAAAAAGCAACAGATAGAATACGTAAGCGGAGTGCAGAAAGGTGTATAAAGGTCCATTTTGGGATTTTTTATATGAGCCTTGGAAGTTGGAAAAAATTCCAAAAAATGTTCCAAAAAGCAGTTATTTAAAGAAAAGAGAAATATAGGGAAAATTCATCCTCACAGATGAATTTCCTAATGCAATATAAAAACAAAATTATTATCATGACGAGCATAAGCGAATTCTGGCAGGGAGTGCACCCTTCTTTGGATTATGGAAAAACAGTACCAAAAAGCAGCTATTTTAAGAAAAGAGAAATATAGGGAGAATTCATCCTCATAGACAACTTTTATAGTGTAATATTAAAAAAAATATTATCATGACCATTTAAATTATTTTTAGATTTGTCATATCAGGTCATCTCACCAGGCTGTGGATCAAATTGCGCACGGCGAGATTTGATTTTAAAAAGTTTTTTTTTTCTTAGAGAGCTCATTTCCAAGCTGCAGCGCCATTTACAGTAATCTTTCTCAGATTTTGACAATATCGGTAAAAAACTAGCGTTCATTGACCGTGGTTATCGACCATATCTCTTAAATCAAATTATTAAGTTTTGATACTAGTTCAACGCATAATTTGGCCTTTTTTAATTTCTTTAAAGAATACGTTTTTTCGCTTCGATGCACTGTTTAGTAGTAATATACGACAAAAACGAAGACAGATCGGATAAATCCACTAGCGGATCTAGGATTTAATTTTGGAGGGCTTCAGCCCGAAAGCTTTTTTTTACATATAGATATAACGATAATTAAATTGAAAAAAAAGAAATTAATTAATTACCTATACGAAATGATGTTTAAGTGTTTCTTGAAGTCCTATTAAATTTAATTTTACCATCAAGAATACTTTAAGAGATAGTTTTTAATATTTTTTCCTGTAAAATATGGTTATATTTTACCATTTTGGAGGGGCTTCAGCCCAAAAGTCCTCCCCCTCCCCCACCGTAGATCCGCCTGTGGATACATCTGGCTTTTTTGCCTGTAAAAGTTTTCTCTTGGTGACCCACGTTAGCAATTTAGTTTTTTACATGTCTAAACCCATATACAGAGTTTCCCGTAATTAGAGGGAAACGTTTAAAGGAATGACGTAAGAACTCAACAGCTACAAAAAAAGTTGATATAAACAATGTCTACATTTTCAGAAGGAAATGAAAGTTTTCTAGTCACATTAAAGTAAGTCAGGTTTTTTCTTGAATATGAAGTGATAACTAAAAAAATATTTAATTTAAGTGATGAACAATTGCTTTACTGCAAACTAGTCAAAATTTACTTTAAATAAAATAGAGTTTGGTATTGTTAAAAACATTTTAAGAGGACTTTTGAGAAGCTAAATTCAGATAAAGAGTAGGGGGAGATGGGTAGTGGTGGAGGAACTTCCTGGATCCGTCACTGCCTACTGCACAAAAATAATATACAAGAACCCGTTCTTTCTTAGCATAAAAACCAAGTCCTAATCAGGACCTAAAGAGAAATGTCCTATCTGAGAAAAACTGAAGAAAAAAAACATAATAAGAACCAACCTGGATGAAAAAAAAGCCATAAGCTCATTGAGGAATATCGACTCGGGCGATTTGGCTATGTTTCGTAAATTTTTGAGGGATGCATGACAAGTGCAACATATAAAGTAGAAACAAAATGAAGGAGGCAGAGGAAAAATGTGGGAGTAAGGAGTAAAGGAAATCTGTATAAGAAGAGAGACATAGATTGGAGGCAGATAATAGAAATGGTCCAAGAATATTTGGATCAGGATATGCAAGAGTGCTTCCCACACAGCAGCAGGGTAGAGATGGTAGGCTAAGAACAAGAAAAACATTAATAGTTTTGTTTTTATGTTTAAATAAAGTGACAGATCTCCAACAAACAGTGATTATAATAATTACTAATCATTAATTATCAAACATTTATCATTCTATAACAATTCTACTTCAATAGGAATATCAGTTTATTCCAGCTTGGTACCAATCTGGAACATCACCTTGGCTATGGCGCCTTTTTTAAGCATTTCAAGTCCAGTTTGATATTCATTCAGTTTATATTCATTTACGCCCAGTTTTTCAATGTCCAAAAATCTAAAATGAAAACATGATAAGATAAAATAATTGAAATTTCTTCTGATTATAAAATAAAATTAATTAATATACTTTTTATCCAATGCTTCCATCAGGTCAATTGCTTTTTTCATTGAAAATGGATTAATGTTGCTGCCAATGATTGTCAATTCTTTTTTATATATTTCATATGGAGAAATCCTAAAAATAAACCACAAATGTTAGATTGTGCCGAAAGGAAATTTAAAAATATATATATATAAATCTGGTGAGCGATCTTACCGCTCAACTTTGAATAGAAATTATATTCTGGCCATGTTAGGCTATTACAAAACTTTTGAATTGTATTTTTAACTGAGCTAATGCTAAAAGATTGCAGCTAACAAATCATAAATACTATTAAAATAACAAGAAGTCCTATTTATTATATCACCGGTCGATTATGGATTGTACGACTATTAGTTATTAAACTTTTATTTTAAATTGCAAAGTTTACTAGAACGGAATTAATATTCACTATTAATTTATTCACTAATTTAATTTTCTAAAAGGTTACTTAATGATTGTTCGCAATAAACGGACGACAGATACCTAATGATTTAAATATAATGTCAGATCTAGAGTTATTAAACTACAGTAAATATATTTAAGGTTATAAACGTATCTATGAAATATTTTGGTATTTCACTTCTTCTTTCAAACAAGTACTATGAAATAGTATCTTAAACAATGGCATTGGCTTGATTCGTTGGATTTTAAATACTTTTTTTTCAATCTTAGAAAAACATTTCAAAGTTTACATATGGTAAGAAAATTTCATTTAATTTCCTCGAAAACATGTGATTTACGTTAAATAATATTAGTTTAAAAAATATATAATTTATATTTTTTCGCAGCTCTACGTTACCTTTTACAACTTTCTATATTATATTTTGTTTTTTTTCTGGAATTCTCCGATTTCCAACGATATATTATACGTATACCATCTGACGAGTATTTCCGGAGTTACATTTTCGACTTAGATAAGCATTTTTATTTTTTTCTCCTTTATTCTATTATCAAATTCTTTCAAAAGTTATATTTAGCATTTTTTCGTAACTTTTAATAATGGGAGATGATTACTTATTTAAAATAAACCATATTAAAGGTACTTTAGAGAAAGACGTATATGAACATTGGGCATTTAAGCCCTGTAAAGTGACATCAATGAGGATGAGACCTATTTATATTAAAGACCACTTAATTATACAATGATACATCGCGTTTAATCAAAATCGTTAGAGCAGTTTTTGAGAAAATTATAAAAATGTGTTTCAGCGTTAATATGAAGTGGCACTTCCGGTTAGCCGATTTTAAGGAAAAAGTCGCTGTCACATCTAGGGCATATCTTAAATATGTAATTTCAGTTTCATACGACTTTTCGTTTTTGAGACACACAAATCATTTTTCGAGACTTGGTTATTTGGACTCAGGGTACCTAAAGACATGTATTTCCGTTGAAGACTCGAAAATTTTCACAATAGCAATACTTACACTTACTATATATTTCATACATCCGTAAGTGAAAGTAAAAATACACAAAACGCAGACAGTTTTAGCGATCTTAATGGTGATCCGCAGATCTGACAGTGATCTGTTGGGAGCGATGTAGCACTTGATTTTAATAGATTTTGAGGGAAAATAAGTAGTTCTGATGAGAAGCAACTTCTACTTGTTCAGAACTGCAATACAACACCAGGGTAACAACTCTGCCTCTGTTGTGAACAAGAAACCCATGAAGATAGATGTTATCAATATTTTCGTATGTGTTGAGAAAGTTTTAAGCAGCTGTATGACCTCCTGCAAATCAGGACTGCGATGTGCACAACGAAATAAAAAAGGAGTAACCAACAGGTACGTGGGAAAGATTTGTCGTTTATTCAGGTTAAGTTATGGGAATATAATATTATAATACTAATATGAGGCTATGTAATATGATAATATCGCTTGAAAAAAACGTTCTTTCATAAGAAACAATATACAAAACATTTCTTCTATGCAATTATAATTACAAAGAAAACTCATAGATATTTCTTATAATTGATGTCAGAAATCATATTGTAATAGTGTAGTACTAAATTATTATTATTATTACTACAGTCGGTACATTTATTTTGAAAATGAATCATTTACTGATAACGCAGTAAATAAATTTTACATGATCTGACCAAATATTCAACTTACGTGATTTTACTATGCGGGGAAGCTACCCCAAATATACACAGTTTACCACTTGCTCTTAAGGAGTTAAGGGCTTGCTCAGTGGCAGTGGCATTTCCACTGCATTCTATAGCCAAATCAAATTCTTCTGAAGTATATTTCCGTTTCAACTCAGCTGGATCTAAGCATTCAAAACCAGTTCCTGTAATAGAAATGACAAAATTTAATTGAAGGAGCATTCTGATGCAGTGCCCGCCTTAGACATTCGGCTCCCCGGGCAATGACGTCATTTCCTCTCCTAAAAATATATATTTTTGTTTTTTATTATTGAAATTTACAACTGTATAAATGATAAATACAACAAGTAAATATGAAACAAGTAACATGACATGTACAACATGAAGAGAAAATACCCGTTGGTAGACTCCAATTATGTTTCTATATTAGAAGGTCCCAAGGCCATCTTCTTTTCAGACGCCTCGGAGGGTTATCAGGAATAGAAAAGGAAGCAAGATTGGAAACAAGAGGGTTCGGATGCTTCAGAAGTTTATTATGGAAGGATAGGTATCTGGATTGAGCTAAATCAGAAACATATAGTACATTAAGGTCGTTATGGATGATTTTATTTGTGACAAAGTAAGGAGCATTGAGGATTTTACGAAGGATTTTGGATTGTAGGGATTGGATACGAGAGGAATTTGATGGTTTAGTAGATCCCTTAAGACCAAATAGGCCTTATTATAGTAATATATATGAGTCTTTTGTAAATAGTTGGAAGTTTAGAGCGTTTGTCTACTAAGTGCTGCAGTAGTCGAAAACGTCGGGCAGTTTCTAGTCGTTTCAATCTGGTATGGGGATTCCAAGTGAGTTGTTTGTCCAGGTGGAGACCTAGGTACTGGATTTGTTCAACAGGGATAAGTGGGCTATTGTTGAAGGACACTGTAGGACAGGAATTCATAGGTTTAAGACGAAGAGTAAAGTTAATTTGATGGGATTTATTGTAATTTATTTTAATCCTTCAGTTTTGACACCATTTTTCAAGACTTGTGATGTGTGATTGAAGAGTTTGGGATGCAGTAGACGCACGGGCGGATCTACGGGGGGGGGGGCTTTCGGGCTGAAGCCCCCCCCCCCCAAATGTAAAAATATAACCATGTTTTATGGGGGAAAAAAATTAAAAAATACCTCTTAAAGTATTATTGTTCGTGTAATTACATTTAAAAGTACTTAAGGAATAACTTAAACACCATTTCATATAGGTAGTTGGTTTCTTTCTGTTTTTCCAAAGTAATTATCGTTATTTTTATGAAAAAAAAAGGTTTCGGGCTGAAGCCCCCCCCAAAATTAAATCCTGGATCCGCTAGTGAGTAGACGGATCGTTAGTAACTGATAGGATACACCTGTCTTCGGCATAGGTGGTGATGAAAGTGTTGGTCTAAAAATATCAAATTTATTTCTTAAGCTGTTTAATGCTATGTAACATTGAATTATTGCAATCCAGATTTCTTTACTGGTTACTTTATTGGTTGGCTAAAATTAATTATTTTAATCCGTTTTGTATTTTTTTTTTTTAAATTTCTATTTATTTGATTACAATTGGCGAACGCCCCTAAAGATTGACCAGCGCCATCCAAGTCGGCGTTTTTGTTTTCTGGGCTTAATTTAAGAAAACATAAAATATTACTTATAATGTACCGATATACTTGTTGAAAATAAAAATGGAGTTCAAATTATTCACCATTTAATAACACCAAAAATAGGTTGATCGATTAAAATGTCAAGTCTTTATAGGAGTAAAATAATTGTGGTTACAATTGTCTTCTTTCTATGTAGAATCTTATTGAATTATAATTTTTAATACTTTGTATTATTTGTTTAATCTCAACCCTTACCTATTAGTACCTGTTAATAAATCCTTTGACACCTATTATTTTTAATGAATTTAATGTGAAACTATCGGAAATACATAGCAGCAGAATAATTTATTTTATAAAAAAATATTTCTCATAAGAATTTTTAATAATAAACAGCTAGATAATATAAAGGAAGCGCGTTATCTAATCACTTTTTAAAACAATTTATGACATTTCTGATGCTTTTTTAGTGTTATCTTAACTTTACTCAACATAGTTTTATCAGTAATTATAATAATTACTTACAATTAGTATTAATCTAACTGAAAATTATGAATTCTTACCTAATCCTTTGTTGATAATTCTTCTATCTTCCATAGGTTCAACAACTGTTACTTTCCTATGACCAAGATGGTGCAATATAATGCACCAAATGTTGCCGATTATACCTGCCCCAGTTATAAGTACTTTAGCTCCAACAGGAACATTAGAAACTCCTCTTTCAAGACCCCAGACGACACAAGAGATGGGTTCACATAAGGCAGCTAACGTGGAAAACAAGTAACTTATTTAATAACAAAATATTTATTGTAAAAATTTTATTTATTTTTCAAATTATTTATATTCATATAGTTTAAAAAAAAACATAAATATATTTAATATTTGTATTGAAAATTTTACACATACAATATTATTAAAGAATAGATAAAGTTTTAAAAATGGTTTAGTAAAAAAAAAAGACTACAGAAATAATAATCCTATCCATCCAATCCTTGCACATCAACGAATACTTATTTAAATTTGGTGTAGTAGTCAGGCACCTTACACCTCTGAACTAATTGAGATTATGAGAATCCAAGAGCCGAAGAGGAGAAAAACGAGTTATTTTATACAAATAATCGAATATATTAATGCAAAGTAGATAGGTAGATATATAGATAGTTTATTGGCTAATATATACACCTTTAGTCATGGAATTTGGGCCTTTTGGTGTTAGTAGTTGTTGTAAATATTGAATGACAATGAAAGCCTATATAAGCAGATATATTTATATCTATATATTTATATATATATACGAATTTACGTATACATAGGTAAATTCCTATTGCTTGCTGTAACATCTTAATATAATTTAATAATACAAAGAATTAATGTTTTATTCCTAATAAATAATTAAATAGTTATTCCTAGTACTATATAGATAATTAAATAGTTATTCTTAACATAGCATAAAAAAGTTTACATCTTAATATAATTCAAAAATATAATGAATTAACGTTTCAATTCCTGCCCTTGACCATGCTCCTGTTTTTGGTATTTATTAAGTAACAATCTGTTTGTTACACAAATTATGTGGATTCGTTGTTACTTTAAGTATATATAATTTTTAACAGAAAGAGATAGATCTCATTTAGTTTATTTACACTATCAATATTTAGATGATTTTCTATGAATGTCTGTTTACTGTTTTTACAATATAATTTCCCAGGTAATTATTCTTGTCAATACTCAGTGTGGAACATTGCAATAACAAGTGTTCTAATTTTTGGATGATATATTCTTGACACCATCTTCATTTTTCTCTTTGTTTTATATTACATGCAGTATTGTTATGGAAAAGTTTCAAGCTTTCAGTATCTGAAATTCTTAATTGGCTAACCAGTTTCAGTTTATTTATATTTACATGATAAGTTAAATATTCTTGTGGCTGAGGGCTGTTAAAGGTACAAATAGGTCTGTAAAGTGGGTTGTGTTTAGAGTTGAGAGCTCTATCAATGTGTATAGAGTAGAGGCGATTCTTTACTTTTTCGATAATTATATTTTTATTATTAAGTAAGTAACTTGGTTGTAGATCTTCAAAAAGGTCGTCTTCAATATAATTATTTGCTGCTATTTTTTTAATTTGTGAGATCTAATTAAAATATGTGTCTCTCTCTTTTGTATCTAAATTAATGAGTCTGACAAGCCCTTTGCTTGTCAATCGGTTTTCAGGCATTGAAAGAAGTCAGAGATTGAATGCAAAAAATTATAATTTTTTTCAAAATTTTTACTTTTAATCAAAAATTAAAAATTTTCCTTTAAAAGTCAAAATTTTGAATACAAAGGCTTTGTACCTGTAGTCTGTGGGCCAGACCCCCTTACCATGAACCCCTCCCCTCCCCCCACATCCCTATAAATTGCATATCGTTGTGTTCCTTGTAACTATTTATTAAAACAAAGCCAATGTTCCCACAAAAAAAGTGAACGCACTGCCCCAAAATGGCGTACAAAGATGGCGGATTGACGACTTTGACTTTAGTTAGTTTTTTGGTCACAGAGAATCAGCATTTGGCTTAATTTCCTCATAGTTGGTCTTTTATCAAAGCTGAATAGTTATAGAATAACAAAACATGAAGAAATATTAAAAAATAATTGGCTTAGGCTATGAAAAACACCAATGAAGTAAAAAATTTTAAAATTGAAAATTAAGCGTCGTTTGTAATTAAACGGCCAACAATAACGTAAAATGTGCTGAAATAAAATATCTGGAGAATATATTTCTTTTTATAAAACACTGATTACTTTTTAAAATATTTGAAGCAGTTTCGTATAAAATGCACTTATGCGGGCGATAAACGGTGTCGGCGTTGGTGCCTACAAGCCTCTACTATACCATTCTGTATACATAAATAAATGGCTTAGTTATAGTGATATAATAACGTTTTTGGTACAATATAATGTACCAAAAACTTTAATAATATTTGTTCGTTAATAAAACCAATATAGGTTTTATTAACGAACAAATATTAATGCAACCATTTAACTGTCATAAAAAAAAATTAAACAATTTTTTTAAAAGTTTGTTATGTTATTTTATTTTTTTATTTAACTTACTTTATTCTATACGAAGGTCGTTTAAGTAGACATCTATTGTAAAAATGATATAATTATAATAATAAAACTTAATTAAAAAATACTTTGCTGAATATCTTGAATTTTTTATTTAACGTTTGCAATTTAACACTTTGTTTTGTATATTTACCGATTCTTAGAGGTAATTTAAATTGTATATACTTTCCAGGAAATGAGTCATATCAATACCTGTTTTATAAACTAAAATAATATATACCTAATCTGAACTCCATATAATGAATAGTTGCCGGGTTGTTTAGTATAACTTATTGTTATGGAATTGCAGCCTGGCATTCACTTCTTCTTTCGTGCTGTTGTCATGACTGCACCCAGGTACTTAAACGTGCTTGTACTTTTAAAACTGTGACCGCCAATGTGCAGATCATGGTATTCCAGTTGTTGGTGGCTGGAAGTTTTTAAATATTTTGTTTTTTCTTCATTTACATGAAGGCTCACTTCTGCTGCTTATCTTTCAAATTCAAAGCCTGCTTCCTCAAAAGCTCCTCCTAGCACTGCATTATCTCTCGCCATTATGAGCACTTTATCCGTATATGCCTAGTGCTGTGAGCCGATCATAAATTGTTCCATTAGCTTTTTCCAAGGCTAAATTGAAAAGGACAGGTGATAGCGGGTCTCCCTGCATCGGACCAGTATTTACACCAAATTCTTCTGATAGCATTCCCTGTATTTGTATCTTCATCCTGCTAACATGCATTGTCATCTTTGCTAGCTTAGTGAGCTGCCTAGGAATTCCCTATTCAAGCATTATCTTCAGTAATTCTTCTCTATCAATACTATCGTATGCCTGTTTAAAATCGATAAATAAATTATGGAGGTCAACGTGAAATTCATATCCCCTTTCAATAATTTGTATTAATGAGAAAATTTGATCGAATGGTGATTTCTCATGAAAAAACAAAATTATAATTTTTGAAAGACAAACTATTAAACATAAAGAGCGCTATTAGGGGCCCATTGCACTTGCAGTGATTACATTCAAAGAATATAACTTTTCTTTCGACTGACAGCTACTTTAGTATTTTTAGGATTGAGCTGTTTCATGTTGATTTGAAGAAAATCTTGAAGGTTATAACGGTGTATGACTTAACGTTTTCTTCCAGTAAGCCACAAAATATCGACTCGACTCTTGGAATATTAACAATAAGACCTTGAGTGACCCTAAGACCCTAGCGCAATTAAAAATACGTCCATCCTGTATTCACAATAATACTGATATAATAAAAGAGTACTCATAGCTATAGTACTTGTAGTATTCACAATACAATAAATACATCCAAGTGTTATAGTAATAACTTCTCTACTTGCTTTATTTCTTACTTTACTTTTATTTTTGTAAAGAACCAATCAATTTAGAATTTTATTTAATATCCATAATAGATATAAAATATTTTGAGCCATAATTTATATTGGTTCTTTCGAGGTTGTTCGAACTACTTAATACATGGTTTCTTTGGTAAGTAAGTACACATCAGGGATAAAAATAACGAATATCCAATAAACATTAATGAATTACTAAATCTGTATTAATTAATAATTTTGGGAAATACTGACCTTGTTTAAGAGTTAAGCCAGGTGGAATTTTATAAACTTGTCTGGCACGAACCTTTGAGAATTTAGCCCAACCTCCATTTACGCTAATTCCAGTGGCAAAATCTACCCCTCCATTGATGCATAAATGATATCGGGCAGTTGTACAATATTCGCAAGTTGTGCACCAACTGAAATTTGTAAAAATATCGCTATGGTTAATACAGTATTTGTAATGTGAAACATTATTTAGTGTAGATATTACTGTTTTAAGTAATAATAAATATTGTTGAGAATCTAAAACTTTATCTAATGTGATGAAAAAATAAAATAAATGACCGATTTTCTCACTACTTTTTACCTCAACGCACAGCAAGATCGGAGTGGCACAAGTGGCACAGTACTAGGTACTCATTAGATAAGTCATATTGCAACAAGTTAACTAACCAACTAAAAGCTGAAATTAGAAAATTCAAAATTTATTTAACTTAACAGAAAATCTGACAACTACTGACAAATCACTATGGTTGATCACTAAAAAAAACTCTTAAAATTCAATGATTTTAACCACCCACTTATTACTGAAACCCAAACCTGTTCCAGATCTGATAAAGAAAAATCTCAAATATTTGCTCAGCTCCTCTTCAAAACATTTAATCTACACTCAGATATCCTAAATCCAATCCACCTTGAGTGTATTGAAGCAGAACTCGATATCCCACTCCAATTGAACCTGCCACCTAAAGCATTTCATCCTTCAGAAATATCCAATATTATACACAGATTACCTTCCCATAAAGCCCCTGACCATGACCTAATCACATCCCAGATCCTAAAACTGTTTCCTCAGAAAGCCGTATTATTCCTGCTGTACTCCGAACCACATATTTTCCTGACTCTTGGAAAATATCCATTGTCAAAATGATACCCAAACCCACAAAGCCGCCAAAATACCCATCCTCTTACCCTCATATCTCTCTTTTACCCCTTATGGGCAAAATCCTAGAAAATCTTAAAACGTCTGTATCCCTTCCAAGATTCTAATCACATAATCTCAGATCACCAATTTGGCTTCCGTACATCTCACCCCACTATTCAGCAATATCATCGTGTTGCAGACGTAGTTTGCTCTGCATTGGAGCGCGAAATGTATTGCACGGGAGTCTTTCTCGACGTTGAACAGGCGTTTGGAAGAGTCTGACACCCGGTACTGATGTACAAACTCCGTAAAATCGTATCACCTACATACTTCCTCATTATCAGTTCCTACCTTAGTGGTAGATACTTCAAAGTAAATCTCAAAAATGCCTATTCATCTCTTTTTTCTCAAAGTAGTATCCTAGGTCCTATCCTTTACACATTTTATACAGCTGACATTCCAACACTGTCATCACTACCTATACCGATGACACGTGTATCCTATCAGTTAATCCATCTATTGCATCCCAAACTCTTCAATCACACATCACAAGTCTTGAAGAATGGTGTTAAAAATGGAGGATTAAAATTAGTTCCAATAAATTCCACCAAATTACTTTTCCCCTTCGTCGCAAACCTATGACTTTCTGCCCTACTGTATCCTTTAACAATACCTCACTTATCCCTGTTGGACAAATTCGATACCTAGGAATCCACCTGGGCAAACGACTCACTTGTTAATTGAGCTTTTCAGTTGATAGAATGACTAAATATAATTTTAGTGAGGAAAATTTATACCTTTATTAACTGGAATAGAATTTACTCGTTGTCTGTGCAGATATTATAAATTTTCCAACTAGAAATATCACTAAAATGACTACTCAAAAATGTTAAAAGTGGATGGCTCAATTAACTGTGTTTACATTTTCTAAAATTCTACCAAATAATGAATATTACAATTAAAAAAAAAAAAACGTACAGTTTAAAATCTCTACTCCTAGGCCAGTTCCCTCTTCGGGCAATAAGTTTCTCATTGAAACTGTTAGGATTTTATTAAGAACGGTGGAAATTTTTTTCTTTTATAGCAGCGTAAAACCTTTAACTCGGGGGTCGGAGTTTGCCTCAGATCCAGAGAGTTCAATCGATGATGCAGTTTGTCAGCTCTGCAGCTCAAAGAACGGTTGATAGCTGAAGGATCGCTCATGAACACGAGGTGAATCTTTTAAATGAATTCGCCAATCTTAGCACAGCTTCTATTCGCTCAACTGTATTCCAAACCGCGTTCCAGGAGTAGATACCAACAGCCGCTTGTCTTCTCACATCTTAACGTACTTAGATGGGTTCTATAGAAAATTTAATGCTCTTTCAAATTGATTGAATTGTAGTGAATTTCTTCGAGAGATCTATAAATTATGAGTTTTTGAAGAAAACAGACAAAGAATTATCAAAGAATTAAGGAGAAAGAAAGAAAACAGACAAAGAATTTCTTGTTAAGTACGCAATTATTTGACTTGTTCTGACACGTCACCTCTTGATCTTATTTACATATTAAAAACTATATCTGGAATTTATAGTAAATTTCATCTTTTTTAAATTTGTAAAGAATAATAATTTCGATAAAATGTCATGGTCAAAAACATGAAAACGAGTGTAAAATTTTCGTTTTTTTTTTTTTAGGGACACATTTTTTACATAGTATCAAAATTTCACCTGTCAGTTCTTCCGTTAAATGAAACGTCATATTTCGTCTCTTTAATTTAAATTTTCGTATACGAAGGAACGGATTTCAAGCGAGTGACCGAAGTTGTGTGTTCAGATGATGTTTGTCTAAAATAGTGATTAGCTGTAATTGCACCAGTTAAACGAAATTTCTGGTATCTCTAATAGACTAAGATCTATTAGTGAAGTCATTTCTTGCCACTGAAGAAGAGTTGTAAGAGACCAGCGGGCTATGGGAGTGTGGCCTGACTTGTCGAGCATTCTTTCTCGTAAAACATCCGCATTAAATTCCCCAGAATTCCTTACCATAAAATTCCACAACTACAAGGTCTGCTTGGGAGAGAAATCGTTCTCGAGATTAGAGAAATTTAAATACTTGCGCTCCATATTAACCTCAACGAATGACCAACAATCAGAAATAGACCAGCGCTAACAGAGCTATCTTCTCTGTTTCAGAAGTATTGAAATCCCGAAAAATCTCTAGGAATCTCAAATTAAGTTTGTGCTATGATAAACCCAATTCTGATACATAGCTGCGAGAGCTAGACACTAACTGGTTAAAAGATTTTAAAGGAAAGTTGTGCGTATGATAACTAGAGCGATCGCAGATCGGAGTACTAATACAGAATAAACACAAAAGATAAGTACTAATGCAGAACTGCGAAGATAGGTAGAGATGGGGAAGGCTGGTTAAAACGTAAGAAAGCTTACAGATCTGTAATGCACACAAAAAAGTATTTATTGACTTTTGAACTTATTTTATTTTATTTTATTACGTAGTTGAATATGTTTTAAAAATTGTATTTATTGATTAAATTACTTTTCGTTTTATGTTTTTCTATTGCTAATTATAGCTTTTATTATAATATTAATGTTGATAATTGGTGTTTTATTTTGGTTAACTGATTTTTGGTCAACTATTTTGTTGAAATTTATCTATTATGAAGGATTAATACAATTGTCTGTACTACACACAAAGAAGTGTTATGCATAATGATTATTCTAAATGTTTCTCTGTTTATTTTTTATCCTAAAAGCAACAATGATTACATAAATTAATAAATAATTTTTAAAAATTACCTTTGTGGATCTATTACAACCTTGTCTCCAACTCTAACATGATTAACACCAGCACCTATTTCTCTCACAACGCCACTAAATTCATGGCCTAAAATGACTGGTTTTTTCGAACATGGAAATTCACCCTAAAAAAAAAAAATTAAGTTGGATATATTTGTAAAAGTTATTTGGTATTGTGAAAAATAAAAACCTAGTGTGCTGTATCCCACAACTTTCTCTTGATATCCTTCTTGCGATAGAAATTAAAATATTCTGTTAGAACCATGTTACTAAAATCAGTGGCCGCTGTATTTATTTAAAATACAAGAAGAGGCAAAACAGTAAAAAGAGACAAAAATCAGGAATACTGTGCACATGTATGTAAAAAATAAATTCAATCTTTGTGATCCTTCTGAAGGATCGAATACGCTTCGGAAGATCGAAGATCGATGCAACAAAACAAGTACCAACATTGATAATGAAACCGTCTAGGGCATATTAAGAGATTAAGCACTAATTCTTAATAATTAACTTTCTTAATCGATCACTTTGATTAATCATTTATATAATAAAACGTTCTTTTAGTAAACTGTAATTTTATATAGAATTTTTCTTATTCATTTTTTTTTTGTTACCAGAAATCGGAAATAATGTGATATCGATTCATTTACAAAAATATTTATTATTAAAATGATATTTTTCCAAATATCCATTTCCAAATATATTCAACATATTTTTGACTAAAAAAAATCACTAACACTTACTTTTATCTAGCTAGGTTGTATAAAAGGGCCTACTTGGCGGTCAAAGTACAACTTTATTTTATAGTTTATTATAATGGGTTGAAAAGTTATTATAAAAACCTATCGGCCTACCACAAATCCTAATACCACTGATTTGCCTCATAATCGTAACTGCATTATGGAATCCATGTAAATTGTAAAACGATAAAATGACAACACCAAACATTGTTGCCACTTGTTCAATGTTTAAGCCACGTTTTTAATGAAAAAATTAAATGGAGTGACTGACAATGAAAGCTAAACATCAATATTACAAAATGCACAAATGACTATTATCGATTATTTATTGTCGATTTCTAATATTCAGTATTGATTTTTAGAACCATTATACCAAAGAAACAAAAGATTCACTGTTCTCCCATCAAAACTTCAGAACTTCCGGAAAAGGGGATTAAGTGGGAGGGTAATGAAGAATATCTGACTAACTAATTTACTACAAATCAAATGGTCCTAGATTTGTGAAATTATTTTTATGTTATCTTAGCTAAGGTTTTTTTTCTATTATCATTTTTGACAGAACTCAATGATGTGGGATTTACTTTCAATTTAATCCCAGCTTCGAAAGCAAGATATTTGAACGTTCTTATTAAATCTGGAAAGTAAATAAATAAATGATAACTTACTCCTATTATGTGGATATCTGTACCGCAGAGACCAGCATAGGCCACTTCGACGATAAGTTCATCATCTGATGTAATTTTTGGCTTTTCATGTTGAACTAATGACAACACTTTCTTCTGAGGATCAAATTGTAAAGCTTCCATTCTATTCCACGCTAAACACTCGAGTAAAGGCTTATAAACAATCTATCTAATGCTAGATAAGGCCGAGTCCACGTGATCTGACTTGTTAAAACGATATTGGCAGAATGGTGAGATAGAGAGGAGATACAGAAAGCACTCACTGACCTTGAAGTCTTACATAAACTAATTAGGCTCTATCGAAACATGAAATAAAAAATAGAATAACAAAAGAGATGATTTGTGAGCAGTCGGAAATAATCTCATTTATATAATCAAGATTGTTAAAAATTATCACCAACCTTTATTAATGCATAAATTAACACCTACCTTAGGTGTTATTAATTACGTAATATATAAATATTTTGTTCATTAATCTTAAAACTCAACTTACGCCGTTATCTTTTTTATCGGAATAAATGAATAAAAGTCTGAATTGATAAATTATCTAATTCGTAATCTTCAATTTATTTTTATATTTCGGTATTATCTATTTTGGAGATAAACTCCAATTAAACAATATTAAATTCTAAATATATCCTTCATTGACAATGTTTCAGGTTGAGCTAGACTATAATAAAATAACAAATATTGCTTCAGGACTTGACGCCTAATTATTTTTTAAGACATTCTTCCAAGAAATTGGATCCGATATATTAGAACTGTTTAAAATTAATACGTAACAACGCATTGTCTAAGACCTTATAAAAAGCAAAATGCTATTTTGTCAATAAAAATGTTTGCGTTCAAATATTACATTTTAAAAATTAATACATAATGCTTTAAACAAGATATTTGTATTACAAATAAATAACTAGCCGTTTTGGAAAAATTGTTTTAAGAAACAGTTGCCATTGCAATATTTTGTCTTTTATCCTTATTTTCATCTCTTGTATCAAACTCATTTGTGCTAATACTTATATTTCAAATTTCATCTCCATACCTTTCAGAAATGGTGTAAGGAATGATGTAGATCGGCCAAATAATTGTTAAAATCTTAGTGGACCAAGTAGATATTTCTACGTAGTATTTCTAGAATGACATGGAGTTTTAAAAACTTACAAAAAATGCCTGTAATAAAAATTAATTATTGAAAATAATATCCTGCTTAAACAAATGGATGTATACTATTTAATCTGCTTGAGGGCATTGACGTAGGTAGACAATGCTATTTTTAATTTCACTTTCGTATATATGTAATATATAGTAAGGGTAAGTATTGCGATCGTGAAAATTTTTGAATCTCAGTTTTCAACGGAAACACATGTTTTGAGGTCCCCTGAGTCCCTAGCGGATCCAGAATTTAATTTTTTTTTTTTGGGGGGGGGCTTCAGCCCGAAACCTTTTTTTTCATAAAAATAACGATAAATACTTTGGAAAAACAGAAAGAAACTAACTACCTATATGAAATGGAGTTTAAGTGATTCCTTAAGTGATTTTAAATGTAATTACACGAACAATAATACTTTAAGAGGTATTTTTAAAAATAAATTTCCCATAAAACATGGTTATATTTTTCCATTTTTTGGGGGGGGGGCTTCAGCTCGAAAGCCTCTCCCCCCCCCCCCCCGTAGATCCGCCCGTGCCCTGAGTCCAAATAACAAAGTGTCGCAAAATGGTCTGTGTGTGTGTTAACAGTCTAGTTCATAAACGAAAAGTAGTACGAAACTGATATTAAGTATTTAAGGTTTGTATATGGGCCGGATGTGACAGCAACTTTTTTGTAAAAATCAGCTAACCGGAAGTGCTACTTTATATGAACGCTGAAACACATTTTTACAATTTTCTCAAAAACGGCTGTAACGATTTTGATTAAACTCGGTGTATCATTGTATAATTCAGTGGTCTTTAATATCATTTAGGTCTTATTTCCGTTGATGTCACTTTACAGGGCTTATATGCCCAATTTTCAAATGCATCTTCCTCTAAAGTACCTTTAATATGGATTATTTTAAATAATCAACTATCTTTCATTATTAAAAGTTACGAAAAAAATGCTAAATATATCTTTTGAAAGAATTTGATAAGTTAATAAAGGAGAAAAAAAATAAAAATGCAGAAAAACCTGCGTTGCAATAGACTGTAGCGCCTAAACGAATGTACCGATTTCAATGAAACTTCGCTAAAGTCATTTTCTCTACACCCTTTAAATTTATCTATATAACATACTTCAACGAAAAGAAGCTGGAAAAAAAGTTACGAGGGATGGTAAAATTAAATTAAACCACTTTTAGGGTGTGACGCGTTTGACTGTTTCACTTGGCTTTTTTGACGTTTGCATGTATACAGTCTTCTGTTTATTCATTTTTAGTCCTAGTTCCTCAGTTGCAGTTTCGAATTCTTCTAATGTCCTTGCTAATGATGGTTTATTTTTTGCCGTTATCACAACATCATCAGCATATGCCAGATGCTGGGTCATTCTATTATAAATCGTGCCACCAGGATATGTTCGGATCGCCCTTATTGCATACTCCAAAGCAATATTAAATAGGATAGGGGATAAAGGATCTCCTTGCCTAAGCCCATCTTTCACCTCGAAGTCCTCCGACAATTGGCCATTAATCTTCACAACTGATCTACTACCGCTTAAGGTCATTCTTGTCAAATTGACCATTTTTTTGGAAATCTCTAATTTTGTCATTGCCTTCAGCAATTCTTCTCTGCTTTTACTATCATATGCCTGTTTAAAATCTATGAAAACATGATGTAAGTCCATTTGGTATTCGCATGCTTTTTCTAACATTTGTCTTATCGAAAAAATGTGATCTATAGTTGATTTACCAGGTCTAAAACCACACTGGTATTTACCCAAAATCTTCTCGGATCAAAATTGAACTTTTTTATTCAACAGAACTGCAAATACTTTGTAAACTGTATTTAACAATGCAATGCCTCGATAATTGTCGCAGTTTGTTTTTTCTCCTTTTTTGAATACAGGGCATATGATAGCTGTAGTCCATTCTTTAGGCATTTATTCCGTTATCCAGACTTCCATCATTAGGTTGTAGATCTCTCTTAACAAAGGCTCTCCGCAATTCTTCACCATCTCTGCATCTATACTATCCAGACCAGGACATCTATTATTCTTCAATGCGGCTATTACATCTAAAAAATCTTCATAATCTGGAGGCTCTACATCACTGTTGTTAACTTCCTCCTGTCCTACTCTAGGGCAGTTTCGCACTACTCTGCTTGGGATTGGTTGTTCAACATTTAACAAATCATAAAAATATACTCGCCGCATCTCCATGATTTTTGATGGATCGCTGATAAGGTCGCCTTTCTTACTTTTGTATATGGTTATTTTGGGTTGGAAACCATTCTTGAATTCCTTCACCCATTTGTAGAATTTTCTTGTAAGTTTTGAAACAAAATAGCTTTGGAGCATTTCGAGTTTGCTTTTTTCAATACTTCTCTTCTTTTGCCTACATATCTTCTTTGCGATCCTTCTCATTGAGATATACTTCTGCCTAATTCTTCTTGTACCCACACTAAGCATTCTCAATCTCGCTTCTTTTCTGTCCCGAAGTGCCCGGTCGCATTCCTCATCATACTATTCCTTGCTCGCCCTTATCTGTGTTGTCTTCAAAATCTCCTCGGCTCCCTCATTTAAAGATGATTTAATCAATTCCCAATAACTGTTAATTTCCTTATCTTCATCACACTTCTTTAAAAATGATTCCTGAACAATTTCTTTAAATTGTTAAGCTTTTTGAGGTATTTTTAAAATTCCGCTTTGGTACCTGAGTTCTTTTCCCCTTTACTCGGACATTACATTCTATTCTCCGTCTGTAAGGTACTTTAACTAAAAAATGATCAATGTCAGCGTCCGCTCCTCGATAACTTCTCACGTCATTTATATCAGAACAGTGTCTAGAATCAATCAGAACGTGGTCAATTTGATTTCTACTTTTTCCGTCTGGGGATATCCAGGTTTCCTTATGTATTTCCTTATGAGGAAAGTGTGTACTTTTCATCACCATACCTTATTCTTGTACCTTTTGTACTACCATACCATACCTTATTCTTGGGTGAACTCTATACTTCTAATTCCATTATCATTGGATAGTTTATGTTTACTAAACATACCGATAGTTGGCCGAAAGACTTCTACTTTTCCAATGTTTGCATTCATGTAATCCATAACTATTTTAACATCATGATGAGGTAACAAGTCATATTCTTGGTAGAGTTTTGCATAGAAGTCGTCCTTTTCTTCCTATTCACTGTCCTCTGTTGGGGCATGTACACTGATGATAGAAGTATTGAACAATCATCCTTTTAGTCGAATCACACATATTCTTTCTGAACCATCTTGTATCCCAACAGTAAATACTTCAGAGATTTCCTAATCATGAAGCCCGTTCTCAGAATATTCCTTTCATGTCCACTGTTTATTATCATATATGATTCCAAATCCATTATTTCCTTTCCCCTCCATTTTATCTCCTGAAGCGCCACAACATCCACACCGTATTGAAGCAATGTACCTTCCAGATTCCTGCCTGATCCGGTCTGCGCCAAATCTCTCACATTCCATGTCGCCAACATTAACTGTTTACAAGATCCTTTGACTCACCTAGGTCGTTCACTAAAGACAGTCCAGCTTTTTCTTAAGAGATTCGTAACATGATATACTTAAGGGAAGTGGGTTGTTGGCCCTCTGTCCCCGAGTCAGATGAAGGGGCTGCCTCCTCAGAACATCCTGACTTGCTCTCCCATCCGGGGCGGCTACCTAGGGAAGATAACCCTAGGGTGTGTACTGTGAATGATCTTATACACGGTGGGCCAGACCCCCTTACCGTGCACCCTCCCCCACATCCCTATAAATTGCATATCGTTGTGTTCCTTGTGACAATTTATTAAAAAAAAGCCAATGTTCCCACAAAAAAAAGTGAACGAACTGCCCCAAAATGGCGTCCAAACATGGCGGATTGACGACTTTGACTTTAGTTAGTTTTTTTGTTACTGAGAATCAGCATTTGGCTTAATTTCATTATAGTTGGTCTTTTATTAAAGCTGGATAGTCAGAGAATAATAAAAGATGAAAAAATATTAAAAACTAATTGGCTTAGGTATTAAAAAAAATCGGTAAAGTCAATTTTTTTTACAAAAAAATTTTCAAGTTGAAAATCAAGCGTCGTTTGTAATTAAACGGTCAACAATAATGCAAAACGTACTGAAATAAAACATCT